TGCAGTTGCTCCATCGCCTTCAACTTAACCGAGCATTTTAAGGTACGGTTGGTGTTGCTCGGTGAATGCGTATTGGCGGTCGTGTTGCCATAATTTTTGACGATGAAGTGCTTGCCCACCACTTTAAATGTTTCCCCGCCCTGCTGTCATTGTTGTAGGGTCCAGTGTACATGTACTACGGGCTGTCCAACTTCTACCAAAACCATCGACGCTACGTCAAGTCCCGAGATGACAACCAGCTGTATGGTGTCGAGGCCTCCTTATTGGTGAATTAAAGTTTGAAATACAACACAAATTACATTATGCTTTCAAAGGTTGTACAAATAACGTGGGTTTTTTTTTCAACAATGCAGCGGTTTTCAGTTGTGCGCTCATGGTTTGCATTTCGCAGAATCCAAGCAGCGAGTGTGCTCCTTATGAAAAGAATGGCGGCATTCCCATTGCACCTTGCGGAGCTATTGCAAACAGCATGTTCAACGGTGGGAACACACACAACTACATCTTTCTGGATTGGCGAAATCGATGGCATTAAATGGCATGTATTGGAAGGTTGAGGGTGATGCCGTTGTGTAATAGCACACTGGATTTCGGAGGTCATTGGTTAGATTCGATCTCCCGGTGGAAGTTTAAACAAGGTGCAAGTTTAGTCAATGCCGCTGCATGTCCACCCAGCAGTATAAATAGTTACACCACACTGATCGGCAAGTCGCATGTGACGGGAAAGTGTGGCTTCTCCCACCTGCCCCAAAGACATCCAGTGTGAAAGAGTAGGCCAAATACCCTCTAAGCGTTCCCTCGAGTGCAAGACGCGGCTGCCAGAAGTGGCGTAATCAAGCAATTGCAGGTTTGCACTTTGACTTTTTGCATAGGAAGTTGGCAGTTGTGACTTTTAACTTTCCATGAGCCTGAAAGATGTGAACTGATGCATTACTATAATAAAGCAAAGTGCTTGTTTAAAGAAGTAAATGTGAAATTCAAGTGTAGCAGATCGTAAAAAAAAATGAAAGGTCCTTTGGAAATTTTGAGGGGTGGGCATTTAGTGTAAAGGGAATACCATTCAAGCATGAAACAACACTGCATCCATATTACATCTGATATTTAAACCATATCAGCCAGTTATCAATAAGCTTTTAGATTCCTTAGTCTTTATGAATTTGTTCATGACATACTTTTCCAGACTTTAAGTTTATTAACTTTCCTTTGAGCAGAACCCCATTTTAAAATTTAAATGTATCCCTGCTTTCATGTGACATTACTATGTTGCTTCGCATTTTGTTGGGCAATACAATGTTTTACCTGTGGCACACTATGGGAAGTAAAAGTTATGCAAAAGGACTGACAGGCCAAGATGACCCAGGAAGGGATGCTGGAGTTAGTCCCCAAGGCTGACATGGCGCAGGATGAGTAGCAGGAATAACGGAACGCTTGGCAGCAAGGGGAGGTGTTGGGAATGAGAGGGTTAATGTGAGGGAAGAGAAAGTGGAAGTGAGATGCATGCGGCATCTGTCTTCACAGGATGCAGGGATAGGCAAGGGATTCAGGGTGGTGATTATCGTACAAGTCAACAGATTTACTGGATGCTTGAGCCGATTTAAATATAGGGTTTTTTAAATAAAATTTTTCAAAATGTTTCCCTTGAAAAGAACACATTTAGGCTCAACATTTTCACACGATTATAAAGGACTGTATTAACGACTTGTATGTATGTACCTTTTGTTGATTCTGGCAGATACACTAACGTTGTACATGGCAAACGCTACTGACAATGTTCCGGTGCCGATGATAAAGACTGGAATTGCCTGGTGGACAGACAAGAACGTAAAATTTCAGAACCCGGAGCCAAAAAACAATCTCACCAGGGCTTTTGCAGGTTTGTATATGACCGCCACATTTGCCACAAGGATGAGTGACAATACAAAGATGATCCATTCATCTGGAAACGTGAAGCTGCAAAGCAATTTTTATATGGTCACCATGCTTGTTTTATTCATCCGACGTGTTTTTTGGGTTGTACCACGTGTTCAACACGCTGTCCGACGTTTCCCTAAACCATCTGCGAGCCGATTCGAAAATGTTTCAGAAGCTCCCATCATCACGTAGACAAGTCGGACACGTGATAACAACCTGAAAAACACATCCCGGAAGCTATATTTGCACAATCGCAAAATTAAACATACACCGTAACGTGTTTTCGTCGCAGGCACTACCAAGCCGTTGTACTGGAATAGATCTATTTCTGAACTCGATGAACTGGACAGCAACAACAATGGCTTCATGAACGAGGACTTCATCGTGTGGATGAGAACAGCTGCCCTGCCCACGTTCCGCAAGCTCTACCGCCGCGTCAACATGACAGACAACGGGCTGCCCGCTGGCTCTTACCTCCTCAAAGTGGACTACAGTATCCTTTCACTTTCCAATGCAATTGCTGTGACTATAGGGGATGTACAGTAGCCCATTTGTGTTGATATAAATCTTCCTTTTTTAGTGGCCCACGTCGCTGTTTTAACAATGCTTTTCCTGCAGCTTGGAAAATGGGTATTGAGGTCTGGAAAGGTAAGATAAGGTTGAAAGTACGCTTTAAAAACAATCACAATTGTATAGAAGCTATAACTGGTTGTATGACTTGTAATGGGTGGTCTACTGTAAAACAATGGTTTGTATATGATCACATTGTGTACCTTCATTGAATGGTGGAAAAAATGCAATTACATCTATAGTATTTTTTCTCCATTTGTGTTTGGTGTATTTGCTTGAGCACTGGTTATCCCACTGCACTAATATCTTGGCCAAGAGTTTGATTCCCAGCCATGGAGTATGGTCAAACAACCCACATCCACCAGTGGATTGATAGTGTTGACAATTAGCGTTGTGGTTTATATTTGCCCGGAAAGTTTCCCACCCGCAGCGCGCGCTCCAGTCTTCCTTAACGCAGCTCCACAGACTTTCCGGTGAGGAGCTTTGGAGGCAGAAAGCGTATGATCCTCAGCACCACCTCGTGGATGGGTGGAAAGAACCCCTTCCTCGGCATCGCCTACATCACGGTGGGTCACCATTTGTTTCGTCCTGGGCATCGTGCTCTTCATCATCCACCAGAAGTACAGCAAGCGCCCAAACGATTCCACAGATCCCAACACCAACTGAGCCTTTTTGCACCTGGTGTGGCCTCTTTATTCTAGCCCAAACCTAGAGTATTTGTTAAATTTGGTTGTGTTTCAGCGTAAGGTTACCCATCTCAAGATTAGTGTGTAAGGGGAGGGCCAGTGGAAACCTGTAGACGCAGCCAATATCAATTAGAAAATGTCACATTGGCTTGAGGAATTGTATGGTATATGGTACAAACTAAGGTACATCGAATGACATTTCTTTGAGGAAAACTGATAAACTAGTTGGTGACTGGGTCTAGGCATGAGGGTAATAATTCCATAATTTTAAAAAGGTATAAACTATGTTTTCCATATATTGTATATTGGTTTTATTTTAGCTAAAGTCAGATTATCTTTTGCTCAGCCTCATTGTTCTATTAACCTTGATAGACATGTAAAAATAATTTATGAACCTCAGCACTGAGAAATTGTTAAAGACTATCATTGTTTTGCAATGAATGTAGCAGGGCACACGAGTGGGACGATGTGAAAAGGCATTTTAAAATTGCATGCTAAATGAAAAACCCATGATGTGAATCTTCTGCTTTGGTTGGTGTTCAGACGCATGTGTATAACTCCTTCATAGCAATGCTCACTTGAGTGTTAGACTGTTCAGAGTTCAGTTAAGGCCACGCAAATGAGCAAAAATAGGCACCTGCCGAGTGTCAACATGTGCATTACGCTGGCATGCGCAAGAGTTTCATCACACAATCAAAAATACGCTGAGTGTTGCAGTATGGCCTTGCACTCTGTAAAATCGTGGCCCAAATACAGAGCCATCCTTGCTGTCATGAAAAATTATTGCACTGGCAAGTGGGGGGCAACAGTAAGGCACGGACTGCAACTGTTTTGATAGCTTTAGAAGCTCAAATACAAACCATGCCAGAGGAGACACTGGGAGGCATAATCTACAAGCATGCACACATGCTGATATTCACAGTAGTGGAAAGTTGGTTATGCAATGCTATAGACTTGTAATTTGGTGTTGGAATAAACGTTTGCCTTGCATTAATTTTTCACCATAAAGTTATTGTACAGGTTGGATTATTGTAGTGCTGTTTCTTTTTAAGCTTTTGCATTCCGTATCTTTTAATTGCGGCACACTCAATGGGGAACGATTTTTTTTCAGTTTAGAACATGTTAATTTTGCTCCTGATGGAATTGGCAGTTACATTGGTTATTTGAAAAAAATTTGACCAAATTTCTAAAGCATGAAGTATCATTTGGCAAAACACTGGAAGGTTTGGGATGAAAACCACTACCCTTAACAATTCCCACCTGGTAGTGTGCTTAGCACCAACTTCTATACCTTTAGCTTCTACACTGAATTGAGATTTTGAGATGTAGATGTTAAATTAAAAGTTTGGGACAAATGCCTTGGTTTAATTGCTCATTCAAATATTAAAGTTGACCTTGGGTAGTTTTGCACTCTTTAAATAAGGCATTACTGTGTTAGTTACTCCAAAGCATTGTACAAATTGTGATGTCTGCTTATTTTCTGTCAACATTGCTTTTAATAGCATGTGCTTGTTTCCAGTGTACAAATGCTGTTTGTTAATCTCAATGTGCTAAAGGCGGCGAATAAAATCTTAAAGACTATTGAAGTGTTTCTCTTTAACTTAAGTTTATTTTCTTTGGGTTTTAACCCGAGGCTCATAAGCAGCAGGTCTGAAAGCATTCACAACAGACACAAAGAAAAAAATTCACTGTTCATAAAGTTTTTTTATAACACCACTACATTCAGTCACATACAATATCCAAACACAAGATTACGATTTACAAAAATAAAACTGACACCTTTTGCCAACAAAGTAGTTGATGACCACACTTGTTCAGGACTGGGTTAGTGTGTACATTAGTGATTTTTCAAACAAAGCCAGATACCACCATCATACAAGACTGTGCAACTGCTAGACCAACCAGAACGTGTACAACAATGACCGCCAGGGTGAAGGAGAAAAGGACGAGGATTTACATAAAACATTCCAGTATCTACATACCTATAGCTTGCTAATTCAAATGTTGCATGGTCCTGCCCCTGTATTAATGACTTTCAAGAGCAGGCTTGTGTGCACGAGTCATGGGATTCAGTAAAAATTAGAAAAAATATCTCCTACTTTTAAAGGGTTACTTTTTAATGCAGTGGTTTTCACGTGTGTGTCTTTGGTGACGACTGCCAGGGGAAGGAATTTTAGGACCACAGAAATAGCTAATAAAACATCACAAGATAGATCGCTCGCATTGATGATGTAAAAAACCAAGCCAATCTAAGCTCGCACCACACCAAGGGAATCCATCTAAGCATGAGCTTTATGGGCGACACTTAACATGGTGCTATTTCAAAGTCTGGCTGGATTGGTACTTTTTTAACTCAAGGCAAAAGCTGACTTCCATGTAATCGATTTAAAAATATATGTGTAGTGCTTATAAAAACCACCCCCTCCACCCCAGAGCAATAATCAGCCTTCCCTTGTGGAGCTCAGCTCTGCTTCCTCCATATAATCGGCCTTGTCACTGTTTTGTGAGCAGAATGTGTTGTCCAAGGTCACATCCTCCACCTAGAGAACATGCATGGGCAGCACAACAAACCACATCAACGGATTGACCCTTAATTCTGTTGGATCACTTGCATCAACAGTTCAACCTCAATGTACATTGATAGCGAATAGCCAGAGTAGGTTTTCTAAAAATAATATTTAAACAGCTATTGTAGATACTGTTGTTACAGCTTCATGACCCACAAAAGTCCAATCCCTCAATTTTTTCAGGAGCCTGCAATATTTTTTCAATCAGGGAACAAAGCTTGTTGTGTATAATACAAATTCACTCATTTGCGGGTAATTAAATTTGGACCATGATGTCACGGGAACTTTAAACGCCGGCTTGAAGCAGACTTATTTTAAAGCGACACCTGCAGTATCAAGGTGGCCACTGGATTCGAACCGCGGACCTCTGCAACAAGCAGCGAATCGTGCCACTGCTGGGCCATACCACTGCAACCGTACCTCGGGCGTCTATTCCGGGCTATAATACGCAGAGTTAGGCAGCTTTAGGGACGTAAACACACCGCCACAGCATGCAATAGTGATGTTATTTATATAGTCGGTTTAAAATATATGGTCTATAATGTTGCAGTTGAGGTTTGTAACTTTTAGACTTTTTAAAATCGTTAATAACGTATTCAAACTCAAAATGGACACCCCAGGAACGTCTATGCATTTCTTTTGGATGCGTCTTCATATAACTGCTTAACGGATGGCACCGACACAGCTTGTGACTAATGGGGAGGTCATTTTCTGGCCAAGAGGCTGACCTTGGCACTTGCGTCGGAAGGTTCTGCTTCGATTGACAGGTCGTCTATCTCCTCGGCAATGCTCTCCTCCGTCTTCGTGTGGTCCGACCTGTGCTCACACTGCACACAACGAGGATTGTCAATGAGAGTTTATCAGCCCAAACTTATCATTATACATCAGAGACAATGTGTAAGCACACCACACAAGATTTTATTCGTCTAGACAGTTGTTTGGGGTGGATTGGAGGCTCAGTGGTTATCGCACACCACACAATGAACCTGGCCACCCGAATTGGACACCCACCCGTGGCTAACATCAGTGACAAGTGATATCTGACCAGCGTGATGACATGTTAAAACTACACTGAGTGGAGAGGCCTCCTTCCACCAGCAGCAGATGAATAAAACCGTAATCATTTAACTTGTTTTCTTCTTGACTAAACGTACCCATTTACTTGATGACTATCACCATTTTTATTCTTTGGGTCTTTCGGTAAAGCCACGTAGATAAAACATTTTTATAAAAATATCACAACGTTTCGATCGCAACACAAGAAAATCGTCGATTGCTTGTGTTGCGATCGAAACGTGATATTTTTATTATGTTTTCTATCTACAGTAGAACCTCTGGTCACGAACGCTTCTGACCACGACCAAATCGGGTTCCGACCAAAAATTCATAAAATTTTTGAATCTGGTCACGAACACAAACTCGGCGGCGATCAAACACGGCCGCGGCCGATTTCCCCTTCCGCGCCATTTTTTTGTAAGCGCCAAATTTCCTGTTGTTTGTTTACAACAGAAACCCACGTGTGGCCGCCTTGCTCAGTCAGTCTCGCTTAGTAATCGGTCTCGGTCAGACGTGCGCTCATTCGCTGTGAACTCTGTGCAGTATTTTGTGTCTTTTCGCATACATTTTGCAATTAGCCATGGCCTCTAATCAAAGTGAAGAGTGGTAATGTTGGTGCGAAGAAGGTTTTAAAGAAAATTGAAATCGAAGTGAAGAAGGAAATTATTGAAAAGTTTGAGCGTGGTGTGCATGTTACCGATCTTGCTGCAGAGTACAAGAAATCAAAGTCTACGATCTCGACTATTTTGAAGCAGAAAGAGGCTATTAAAGCAGCTAATGTTGCAAGGGGAGTTACAATGTTAACCAAGCAGAGGCCTCAAGTGCTGGAAGAGGTGGAAAAACTGTTGTTCAAGGTTTTCTCAGTGTTATTCAATGTTTTTACATTTAGTTGACTATTACACTGTGAATTCTATGGTATAATTAACTATTTTTGTGCTTAAAAATCTAAAAAAAGCAATATATATACAGTTCGTAGGAGTCTGGAACGGATTAATCGTATTTACATACAATCCAATGGGAAAATTAGGTTCGAGTCACGACCAAATCGGGTTGCGACCGAAGTTATGAAACGAATTATGGTCGTGACCAGAGGTTCAACTGTACGTGGGTTACCGAAAGACCTAAAGAATATGAATTCCTGCAGTCACGAAAGCTTCAAGTCAAGATTTATCACCATTTTATGAAAATATTAAACATGCCCAGCACGTGTTTATCGGTCAAGGTTGACAGCTACGCCGAAAATAGAAAGCACAGCAGCTAAATACATAAAGCGACCGAGTAATGACCACCCAGATAATGGTGTGGTTACTAAGGGTTAATCCGGTCAAGAAACCTTGCAGATTTAACAACTTATTCAAAGCGTAATTACATTTCTAAGCATGCCTTATTAAAATTACACGACAAAAATGTCCACTGACCTCTGAAAATCATCCTCGTAATCTTCGTCTTTTCCTACATCAGAAAAAATACCATTAAAGCATCAACTCAAATACTCAAGAGTAATTTAACAGCAAAGTTACATACGGAAAAAAAAAATTCAGAGGAATGTTTAATGGACGCATACCCAGATCGAGCTTTCCAACTTTGGCAATTCCCGTTTTTTGTCTCCACCTTGGTGGTACTCTTGCTTTCGTCTGGAAAACAGAAAGCAGAACAACAAAGTTCAGCTCTAGCAATGCCATTAACTCAGGAAGTATTTCCCCATATGGGAGGAAATTGGAACATTTGAAGAATAGACACACACACTCACTCACCAGGGGACAACTTCAAAAGTCATCACAGATAGGCTTACCACCACCCACTTGCTGTACTGCCATCTCATGGCCATCTCGCAGCCCAGTGGATTTGAGTCTGAAATCTATTATCCACCAAACACCGCATCTATATTACATGTGAGCATCATCATGTCTGGCTTCCACAGTGAAAACATTTTACTCACAAATAGGACAAACCACTAAAAGATGGCTGAGGTCACATGAAATATTAACACTGAAAACCTCCACTCAGTACCACTCAGCAATTTGTCGACAACCCACAGGAGGGGTGGGGGCTTTTACCTTTCTTGTCATCAGCTGGGGAATCTGCAGCATGGGATGTAGCCGTGGTATCAGCTGCAGAGTCCTGCTTGTCCTTGTCTTCTTCCAGTAAAGGTGAGTCAGAAGACCTACCAAGGCCAGGCAGCCTGCAGACGCAAAACAAATGTCTCATCAACTGATTTGTTTTCACTCACCCCACGATATGTCCGTGTACCAGCTCGACACGTAACATTTTTGCACCTCCGATTTGCATGGTCGGCTACGTACGGCGCGAAAGAAGTTCGACAACATACACAGCAGAAATCCAATCCGATGAAAAACTCATCGGATATATTTACCGACTCCATTAATTTTCGAATGTCTATTACATCTGCTTATTTGCATTATTATAAACCGGCTATATGGAGATGGAGCTATGGTTCAGTGCTAAGTGCTCATCTATCCGAGTTGGAGTCCCGGCTAAGGCTAACATCAGTGACGAGTGATTTCGGAACTGGTGCTGAACTACCTACCCCCTCTTCACCAATCGGCACAGACCAGTGTGGTGAAATGTATCAAACAACCGCCATGACCAATATGGTTTGAGGAAGCCATCATCTAGCAATGGAGTGAGAAACGGCTGTAAAATATTTTGATGCTGATCAGAAAGCTCTTCACTTTATTATGCACCAAAATAAACACCGGCAAAAATGGAACATCTCGGGTATAACAGTAAGATTAAACACCCAGTGGACATACTTAATCCTATTTGCTCATGGTTTACACTACTTCACTCGTCTTTTTATCTTCAGTAAAAAAAGATAAGAATAATAACATGCGTCCTGTTTACACCTGGAATGTAAACGCCATTCCATTACATTGTTTAAAACGAATACACTCACACAAGAGAAAAACATCCAAATGCACTGGTAGCCCCAACAAATAGTCTGAATAAAGTAAGCAATACAATGCATGAAATGAGACAAAAACGGCAACTAGACAACATTCATGTACAGTGATTACAGCGTCTAATAGGGCAAGTTAGCTAGACGATTACATATCTGGCAGATTCTTACCACTTTGCTTCTTCGCCAAAATGATCATCGCGTGCATCATCATCATCAGTGTCGCTGTTGCGTGCCGATTTCAGAGGGTGCGAGGAAAGTGAGAAGAGCACATGGAATGGGCGGGTGAGTGGTGGATGTGGAAGGGAAATTCCACTCAAACATCGTGCAGCGTGCGTGACAGGAGAGGCAAGCCATGCAAGGAACCCCAACAGCTAAGCGATATTTTTCTCAACAGATGTTAAGAGAGACCCCGTGACAAATCACCAACTTATACCAAGTATTGCAAAGCCGATATTGTTCACAATAGAAACAAGAGTCTTGTGAATGCTGAGTGGTAACACTGTTTAACAAGCCTAAGCTACCAAGTCGCATTCGTGGATACGATTTAATATAACCTACGAACATATCACCAATCACGATAACGAGTTGGGATGGTGTGAATTATCTAATTCAACAGAATGTGATCATGCTTGAAGGTGAAAATAAATATATATCAAGTGCTGCCAGCTATGGGTGTTGATTGAATCTCCGCACCTGCAGTTTAATTAACTGATGCGATTCAAGTCAAGAATGTATTTTTTTTACATTGTGGTGAACACCAAAACGTCTAGTGGCTGCACCGGTGATGTAAACCCATGGCGTACACACACATGCGCGCGCATCCCAGACAATCGATTCTCGTGCAGATGAACGTGTGCATGTACCTCGAGCTTGACAGTTGACAAGAAAATTGACGCGTCATTCCAAACCTGCGCTAAAATATAAATCCGAGGGCTCCTGACCTTCCGTAGACTTTGTCGGGCTTGGGAGACAGGTCGTCAAAGAAAGAGTCTCCGTATTCCTCCCCATCCTCGTCCTCCTCTGCCAGCTTGTCCGCCCCACCCGCTGCCCTCGCCGCCACAGGCTCGGTCTGCTGCTCGGAGGGCCCTCCGTGGAGGCCGTTGCCAGCGGCCGAGGTCACTTTGACCTCCGGGACGGACTGCACGGCGGGGCCCTTGCTCCGGAGTCCGTCAGAGCTGGAGTCGTCACTCAGGCTCGCGTCTGGGGTCTTGTGATGAGCCGTAGCAGACGGATAAAAGTACAACGCACTCTGCTTGTCACTCTGCTTGTTGTGTTTAGTTTGTTGTCCTTCCCCCGCACCTCCGATTAGCACGGTTGGCAATGTAGGGTGCGAAAGAAATTCAACATACATACGAGTACTGCCCTCTTTGTCCTGCTTTGCTTTCAGGCTTGGGGTAATGCGACTGTCACTGCAGTCGATTAAGACATTTCCCAGTGGATACAATTTTACCTTTGGTTTTGGCTCTGGGAATACTGTCGTTTTACAGTCACTTGTAAGGTATTACATGTGTGTAATGATTGTTTTACTTTCTTGTCCATATATGAAAAAAAAATTCATTGATGTAAAGAGATATTTCCACAAATTTTCTGTTCACCCATTGACACTAAATCCACTATTCTCAATTAATCTCCGAGTGGTGTATTCAATTTGCAATCCAAGCATGAAACCCCAATTTGTCAATGCTCAAATAAAATCGGGGAATAAAAAAAAAACACGAAACATTATCACTAATTTGCAAATGAATTAATGAAAATTCACCCTCTGCTACTGGTAAATCGACATAACCACCTAGATTTTCTTACACCAACTAAAACACAAAAAGTCCAGTAAAACCTTCTTGGTTCTTTCGGTAAAGTCCTTCTACGTGACTTTACCGAAAGAACCAAGAAGATGAATCCCTGCAGTCACGAAAGCTTTAAATCGAAAAATCCAGTAAAACCGTTAAGTTCAAAGTAGGTTTTTAACGTACATTACCCTCCAAACATGACAGACGTGCACTAGGAACACCGTGTAATGAAGAAAAAGGGTTGTTAGTGCATGTTAATGGAACGTAGGCAATGGCATGCAGCAGCGGAAGGTACCAGCGTACACCACAACTTCGCGAGACAAACTCATGGCAGACGCTGGGAGGGAGGCAACTGCAGTATGGACTGCGAGACCGTGTGCTAGTGAGTTAGTCCAGAGTATCGGGGAATCCAACATCATCAGAACGGAGGTGAGATTGGGAAAACGGGGACGGACGTGACAGTTAACGTTGAACTCTCCTCTAAAGACTGAACGCATTCGAGGACTCACGCTATACAAATAAGCATTCATTGGAATGTTTGCATCCAGGACTGATCGCATTGCATAACAGAGCAGCTATGCCGTACGCAAACACGTCATTAATATTATCCAGGTGACTCAATTAGTAAATGAAAACTCAAAATAAACCCTGTTGAAGGCATTGCCATGAGTTATTGCATTACACATGTACTTCGATACATTGTGTAATCGCAAGCGTGGCCGGTATGATGACAGGACATGCTGAAAGGATGGGGGCCCATCTGCTGGATACGGTCCTGGACAAAACATTATGAACCCACTGAACCTGGTTCCCCCCGGCAGCCTGCGGCCTTGTTTTACCTTCCGCTGCCCTGCTCTCTCTTCTTTGACTCTGGGAGCTTTAGAGCTGCCTTTGTAAATAGGGATCTGAGTGCAAACGAGACACACACGCAACAGGCGGTGACTCCGGTAGGGGGGGGGGGCGCGTATGGCGCAAGAGGCTCGGAAACACAGGCAGAAAGAAAGCGTGTCGAGATGGCTTCCACGATATCTCTGTACGTGCGAGTGCTAGCTCACTTCAAATGTATACTTGCTACAATTCCAATTGTGCAATGCCATGTCCAGAGAATTCCCATTTTGAAGCAGCAGTTGTCTATGAAGGCAGGTCGAAGTAAAGTCAGTTTGTGTAAGTTTGAGAGGTGGTTGGATGACTCGGAGGTCAGCTGGCACAGTAGAGATCAATGGTTCTTCAAGTGCAGTGAGTTGATGGTTTCAGCCTAGTCACCAAATACTGTACGAAAAACAATCACATTAATATTTGGTTCTGCACTTAATGTGGCTTAATTCCAGCTCTAAGAATGAATATGTCGGTTCGACTGCCATGCAACGAACATTACTCTCATATGCAGAGCAGATGGGAAAGTGCTGCTCTCTATTGTATGAACCAGAGGTAACTTGAAGGGAAGTCAGCGGTGGCTCTGTGATATCCACTTCCGTGGGCCATTCTCTTACATGAAGGGTTGTACTGCTCCATGACGTGATGCCGATAGCACGATCGGAATAACATTGGGGGAATAAAACGTACAAACGTTTTAAACACCGAAACATTTAAAATACACATTTAGTCAGTTTTACAGTAATACAATATTGTCCCTGTGGTCTCTAATGATTCAAAGAAGGCATGCTGGAGAAAAGTCTTGCAGGGATGACAGCTCTCCCTTGCCTGCCTGACCACTGGATATCCTGGTAGCACAGTCAGTGGGTAATCACTGTTCACTCACTACCTCTTCTATTTAGTCGGCGACTTGATAAAGCCAAACTTGCGGCACATTAGGTTTGAATCTGTCCTGATGAAAAATAAGAATAGGTTTTACTCTCTCTGGTAAAAAAAACTGGTGTTTAGATGTTCAAACACCAAATAGATACTTTTTGCAATGCATCAAGTCTGCATTAACCACACGTACTTGCGGAAATACATGCAAACAATATATGCATTCTCCTTAAAATGGATTAGCCTACACCAGAGACAGCCATCTTTATGGCCTTAACTCACCAGTGTTACACCAGAGAATGCAAAAAGGTGAATAATGCAAAGACAATTCAAGTATCTTATAGCTCGAATCGAGCAAGTTATATCTTTGGGACCTTTTTGCCAGTATCTTCTGGGTTTGCATTAAAAGTGTGGCTAAATTCAATGAAACTTTACCATACCACAGTTCTGCAGGGACAAATCTTAACCATAAATAGGTAACTACTTTCTGTACCACTCCAACGTATGGTAAAGATCTAATAATGCTGCCTCTATAGTGAACATCTTAAGTAATGAAATACAAACCCATCATCAAATCACCCAAATGGCAAAGGGTAACTTGTGCACAGGACGCTTTAGCCATCAATGCCTCACCTTGCTGAGGGTAGGGGGACTGATGGACCGAGACTCCGACAGTTTCCTCATGGAGTGGACACTGTCCGCATTATCACTTTCGCCCTGTGAGCGACATCAACACACAGCATTTCAGGAGAGATCTAAATTTTTCAACAAATCCAATAATGTGGTGAATCGGTTCTCCATTCAAAAGGATTACCTCCTCAACCGACAGTCTTAACCTGAACAGGTAAGTCTACTCTGGACATCCATACCTCAAAGGAGCCTTTTCTGATGCCTCTGGCCCTTGAGCGCTTTAAAATCTCCAGCAAAAGCGGTGCTGACTTTGTGGAGTCTGTTTCCACGATGCCCAGCTTCTGAGTCAGACCCCCTCTATCGTCCAGACCGATCACCTGCAGCATAGAAATCATCATCATCAATCACTTATTACTTATACCACGCCTCCCGTGCAGAACACCTCGAGGCACACTGCGGTGGCTCGTGTCTCTGTGTGGTATAATGTGAATGCAGTAATCGCCTACAAGTGGGCATTCGTCTGCCAGTATGGAGAAATGTTCCTCCATGGTCGTTTCCCACGGTAAGTAATTTGTGACAAATTTATCAAATTCGTACCACCACCACACACACACACATGGCCTATTATTTTTCGAAAAACGTCATGAGATGTTTTGCTTCCAATGTGAAGCAGATGGCGCATATACTTGGTTAATATCCTTGCAGTATTAATTAAGATGGTCGCTGGGCTCAACAAGTGGCAATCGCACTACTTCTTGGATCATAGCGAAACATTTTCTCACCGTGTTTGTCTCCGGTGTGAATACGGCCAAAGTGAAGTCCAGGTTAAAAAATTGTAAAAACTCCGTGACGAGACTGGCTATGAGAAGACCTGCACATACCAGTCAAAGGACGCATAATAAACTTTTAGCATTCAATAAACACTCACAAATTTGGAAACGTGGTCATGAAAAACAAAGCATTTTACTTCACAACAGTGCATGCCACGTTGACGTGATGAAGCAACTTACCATCTTTTGAGTTTAAGAAATTCTTGAGTTGCTCATTCACCAAGGGTGTTTTATTCTGAAGCAGAAAGTGGAGTAAAATCCGATCTATTACAAAATTCCAAGCGGTAATTCGTAGACGGCTTTGAAAGATTTAACAGCCATAAATAATGAATGCAATAGATACCTGCACAGCCTCCTGCTCTTCCAATGCAAGAAATACTGCGGCCCGGAGTTCTGCCTAAAAAAAAACATCACAACGAATTAACATCACCATCATCACCGCCGATATTTCACTTCGGGGACACGAGTGCTCGACACTTCTTTTTTTCGTTATCCAAAAATCAATGCTTTGTTAAAATTAGTATCATCAGCCATGGACTAGCCACTGGAGCGTGAAGGCCTCCCAATATTATCATCATCCTTTATGGGCCTACTATGGCAAAATCTACACCCTGCACATAAACTGTAAACTGGTCTCATGGTTCAATTTCCAAAGTGGATGTGCTCTCAGGATCGTTCTCTCTTTTGGCTGCCATTCCATCATGAGTCTCATCCGTTAGTCATCAAGACTTTTTGGCTTCGTGTCCTGTGAACACACCCCATCTCGTAGCAGACATGGGCGAGCTAGGCAGCACTGTGCCTGGAAAGTGCTTGGATGCCGAGCAACCATCATGCATGACTGGTTCTTCAAGGCCACTGCCGGCTTTTATTATACTTTAAGTTCATTATCATGTTACGTCTTTTTTAACGTATACATATTTTTCTTGTTTAAATTGTGTCAACCGCTTTTACATTTGCCTTGTAAAGCACTTTGTATTGCATTTTACGCACAATTGTGCTATATAAGTAAAGTTTTATTTGATTTGTAGGCAGCAGACGGTGCAGCAACATCTACTGCCCCATGCCTACTGCACTTCTATGCACCAACATGCACTGTCATCAACCCGCACTGACCGGCCGTGGTTTGAAGTGTGGTTAAATAATCCCCGTGGCCGGCCACTGCGTGGGTTGAAGTCTTCATCCAGGGCTGGATTAACTAAGATGCTGCACGTGTTACTCTATGTAGCAGAGTATAGTGGCATCACGACCGTAATGGCTGTCAAGCTGTAATAAATCCCAGTGTGTTTTTAACAAGAGGTGCAACACGAAAACAAACATCTTCTACGCCATCCCTCACACACGGAGTGTCCAATCGCGCTATTAAAGAGCGCCTAACCGTGTGTTTAAAGTACTGCAATGTACAGTTTACCACGCTCGTTCATTCAAACTCGGTGTGTAGTAGCTACGACCATCGTCATGTAAGCATTGTCCCCATCGCAAAATAGGAGCAGTCATCGCACAGCAGGTTTTTTTACCCCGTGCTAAAATAAACCACACCAAAGGGAAATAATACAAAATAAAACATAATAAAAATTCTCACGACGTTTCGATTGCAACACAAGCAATCATCATCAGGTGTAAAAACTACAGCATGACAGCAAAAATGTTCTTGCTGTAGTTGTCACACCTGATGATGATTGCTTGTGTTGCAATCGAAACGTCGTGAGAATTTTGATTGTTTTATTTCTATTATTTGTATTATTTCCCTTCTACGTGACTTTACCAAAAGAACCAAAAATATGAATCCCTGCAGTCACGAAAGCTTTAAATCGAAAAATAAACCGCACCATTAAAGAGTATTTTTTTTCTCTCTCTGCTCAATTAAAATTCATACAAACGAATTAGAACGCCTCCATCCATTCCAACTTCTACAGTGCTGGTTTAGCTGGCCGCAAGGCGTTTTGAGCTTTCTGGCCTGTAAGCCAGCAAATGTGATGTTAAAAAACATGGACATTTTCTTGGTTCTTTCGGTAAAGTCACGTAGAAGGGAAATAATAAAATAAAAAAATGAACATAATAAAGCAGACGTCCTCAGGTGAAGAACAGAACGCTGTCTTTCCGACAGCCCTGTTCTTCACCTGAGGACGGCTGCTTGCGTTGTGGCCGAAACGTCGTGAGAAATTTATTGTTTTATTTTTATTATTTTATCATTTCCCTTCTACGCGACTTTACCGAAAGAACCAATAATATGAATCCCTGCAGTCTCGAAACCTTTAAATCGAAAAACATGGACATTAGTAAATTGAAAGTAAAAAAAAAAAGTAAATTAGATTTCTGGATCCTATTTGTAATGCGGTAACAATACAACAATGCCATAACTACCACTGCACTTGACTTGCAGATATTTGTACAAGTGTGCAATGTGGTGCAGTGTCAATCCACTGCTGGATGAGGCCCTCATGCTGTTGCGTTTGACCATACTTCACCACGCTGGTCTGTGTGGGTTGGCAGAGTATTGACATACTGTACGATACGTGTACTTTGTTGACCACAACAGACCCCCCCCCCCTTCACATTCAACACTGATCTAAACAATCGCATTAAGTGATAAATACCAATACATCAAACAATTAACGTTAAAAATTAACCACCTTCATGATTATTATTGTACAGTAATGAACAGGCCCTGACCAGATAACATTAGTTCGGTAGGCCAACATCAAAATACATTATATTTTACACTATGAGACCTCCTTTAGCAGTGGCAAAATATAAAGGTGTCAGTTTTTGTACCAGTTGAAAGGGTAAAAACCTATCACCAAATTTTATTTGTACGTACGTTAACGGTTGAAATGAAGTATTTTAATAACTTTGTTACCCTAAGTCAGCTACGTTGCTGCGTTGTTGGCAATGTGTACAGTACGGTACTGTACTCCTGTACCGGCGCGGTGAAGTATGGTCAAACACAACGGCGTGAGGGCCTCATCCAGCAGTGGATTGACGACTGCTCAACGGGCAAGAGACGAATCGTCATGGTTCTTTCGGTAAAGTCACGTAGAAGGAAAATAGTAAAATAATAAAAGTTAAATAACAATAACACGTAGAAGGAAAATAGTAAAATAACAAACATAAAATAATAAAATTCTCACGACGTTTCGGTCACAACACAAGCAGCCGTGATAATTCTATTTTATTGTTATTTTTATTATTTTACTCTTTCCCTTCTACGTGACTTCACCGAAAGCAGCAAGCAGACGAATCCGTGCTGTCACGAACAGCTTTAAATGGACAAGTTTACGGGGCCTAATTCTAGATTTGAAGCTTTCGTGACTGCAATGATTCATATTCTTAGGTTTTTTCGGTAAAGACACGTAGGTAAAACATCAAAATTATAAAAAATAAAATAAAGATCACGACGTTGCCTCCGAAACGTCGTGATCTTTATTTTATTTTAATTAATTTTGATGTTTTACGGGGCCTCACCTTGATTTTGTTGAGGACCCCGTTCCCCTCCAGGGTCTGAACGAGGAGGTCTCGAAGCTCCGTATCCTCCTCGGCCGACATGTCTGCTCCTCCCGCGCGCTCGATGGACGCCGCCAGCTTTACAACGTTCAATCCTTCCTCCTTCTTCCTTCCTTCCTTCCTTCGTTTCTCCTTCTTCTTCTTGTTCCTCGACGGACTTACGGCTTCTCACTCCCCACCGCCACCAAGCAAACAGAACGGCACTCGGCCCCAACGGCTGATTGATTAATCGCGCGGTGACGTCATCGCGGTTCGTGATGACGTCATTGGATTCCTCGCAGCCTGCAAGAATTCTGTGCGATGACGTCGCTTTGCTGCTGGGTTATGACGTCATGTATATTGTGGTTTTAGAGGCGATGGTTGAACCACGAAATGATTCATGCACAATGTGCTTAGGGAGCTATGGCTGCCTGCTAAATTATTCATTAAGACGTCATGCATAATGTGCTTAGGGAGATATGGCTGCCTGCTGATTTATTCATTATGACGTCACGCGTAGTCTGCTTTGGAGACTGGCTGCTTGCTGAATTATTCAATATGACGTCATGCGTAGTATGCTTTGGTGACTGGGTGCTGCTGAATTATTCATTATGACGTCATGCATACTCTGCTTTGGAGACTAGCTGCTTGCTGAATTATTCATTATGACGTCATGCATATTATGCTTTGGTGACTGTCTATTAAAATATATTCTTGGGTCTTTCGGTAAAGTCACGTAGATAGGTTCAAAGAAAATAACAAAAGTAAAAAAAAAACTACGACGTTTCGATCGCAACACAAGCAATCGTCATCAGGAGAAAAAAGAGCCATACAATCTGGGTGGTCTAGCAGCAGAGGGTTTTAAGGAAACCCGCTTGGTTGGTTCGATCAAAGATGTCGAATCAGTGATGATATTGTTGGTTTTCGTAACGAGGCGGTTGGTGGGATCTCTTAATTTTGGTATAGCTACCATCATACTGGTAGGAACCTCCTGGTTACACCAGCCCACAGGGGATTATTGTGTCCGTCGTGTAGGGAGAGGTTGGGTGGGGAGGGTGGGGAGGGGCTAGGAGGGGCTGGTCACCCTGTGGTGCCCTTATAAAACTCAACGTTTAACCTACTCACGCCGGCTTGTTCCCGCCCTCACAGTCGGGCATATTTGCGGAATACACCACGCCGCCGTTGACCCTGAACATTGACCGAGCAACCCAACGTTCCTACCAGCTCCCTCTGCAGGAATGTGTTGTTATTGTATGTGGTGTTGTCCATGATGACTGTGGCATTGCCCTTCTCGGCTGAGAGAATGACGATGCCATCTCTCTTTTGTAATTGAGAAAGCTCAAAGCGCTCTTATTTAAATTTCGATTTAAAGCTTTCGATGTGGTCTCTTTGTTTACCAAAGTTACTGTGCTTGACACCATTGCAGAAGCTTACCCGCTCTTTTTTCTCCTGATGACGATTGCTTGTGTTGAAACGTCGTAGTAATTTGTTATTTTCTTTGAACCTATCTACGTGACTTTACCGAAACTCCCAAGAATATGAATTCCTGCAGTCACGAAAGCTTTAAGTCAAGCTTTGCCTGCTAAATTATTCATTGTGACGTCACAGTTACCTGCGAGGGTCATTCTCGCGATGTTGATTTAATATCATTCGTGATGACGTCATTGATGAATTACCCTGAGCTTCGTAACCAATTGGATATTCATCACAAATCGCGGCGCCCTTTACGGGGAGGCTACGACATCAGCAAAGGGCAGCAGAGCAATGTCCACTGTTGAACTGCATTTTTCCACGCTGTAATGTTTCTCCGCTCGTTTGTTGCAAAGTCGATCGACTTCTAAGAGACTAACTTGAGAGGCATCGTCTCCATCGTTAGGAAACCTCGACTCGTCATCATCAACACCCGGCCATTCCTTCTTCCGCCCCTCACTCTACACACCATCCTCTCACCCACCTCGTCACATTGCATACTTATAATTATCGTCGTCATACTCTCATGGAGCAAGTGTGTGAGTTTGTCCCGATTTTATGAAGCGCATAACATTTGTTGAACATTACAATGCATCATGGGACCTCCTTTGCCAGTACCAAAATATGAGAATAGGTTTTCCCATTAGAATGTTTTTTTCAACGTTCTAAAAACATTCGATTTATGAAAATGTTACCATTTGTATTATTATCAGCGTCACTACCAATACCCCAAACGAAGCCCACAAATGTTGCTCATACAGAAATAAATAACGCTGTCTGGAACGCATCCCCATATACACAATGGTACTCTATGACCCCTTTAGCGCGGATTCGATTAGCGCTCACGTTTCCAGGAACACATCTTCAGCGCTGAGCGAGGCCTGTCCTGTATTCGCCACTCATTGTTCGTGAACGGTCGCTGGATTTTCAGCGCAGTTCGCTAACAACTCCGCTACCGCTCCCCGCTAATTCTTTCTCTCTCATACACACACACAGGGACGACGTGTGCTTTGGTTTGAATCGTATTAATTTATTTTGTCTGCAGGTTGTTACAAATGTGGCAATTCAAGTATACGTAAGCAATAGGGGAGGGGCGGAAAGGGACCCACATTGAGTTGGCAGCTACAATACGGAACGTGCTCGGAGTGTAATGCACGTGGCGGTTTAAATACAGTAGTGTATTAGCACCACACCATAGCACATACACGTGGCAGAAAGGGGGCACAGGAATATTTACAACAAAATTTAGTGGGTAAATATATATTTTTAAAAAAACAACACAAAAACTACATGCTAAGATAAACTAGTGCAATGTCTACTGAGTAGTGTTGTTAGTGTAATGCGTCATATTTACATCGTTATAATACTAAGTCGTGTGGCACACTGGAGTTTTATCCAACACACAAATGCAATTAACCAGTTCTCTATTGCCGTAGTTGTTTTGAGCGATAAGATGGACTTCAAAACACGAGGACTAAACAAAAGAAATACCAGCACAAAGTAAAAAAGAATATTTTTACTCCATGAATTCAGAAAGGCATGAATTCATTTCTCCAAAGAACTTGTCGGTTTTAGCGTATTGTCTTTGGCAAGTGAGAAAAACAAAGTGAAAAGAAACACCGCTGTCGTATGGGTGGATGCCATCCATCATCTATGAGCATCTACGGCACTAATCGTGAGCAACTCATGCACACCGAGGAGAAGCGATGGAGAAGCGATGGAGAAGCTGAGTCACTTAAAAAGCCAAGGGCTGAAACTGAGTGGCTTCGTGACGGTTACACCAAGAACGCAGCTTCAGATTCACTCCCTACGGCGAGTGACCCAACCGTTAACCAAAAAAAAAACCACACAGCCACTTTAATTCACATGTAAGACAGGTTTGAGGCATGGAAGGGTATGGGCAGAGTGAGGTCATCGATGCCTTGGACTTCGTCACTTCTGACAAACACAAGGACGGATCACTGTGAATAACTATTACGATGGGACTTCACGAAGTGTGGGTTGGAAACCAACAGTTTAAGGTGTTCACATGATGCTTGTACACTTCAGTCGTTAACCACTCACGGCTAATGGTGCGGTTTATCATGCACTGAAGCAGATGAAAGTAATACTCTTAGTTCTTTCGGTAAAGTCACGTAGGTAAAAAACTGAAATAAAAATTATTAATTTAAATTTCATTTTTTTTACCTACGTGACTGAAATTAAAATTATTAATTTTAATTTCATTTTTTTACCTACGTGACTTTACCGAAAGAACTAAGAGTATGAATCTTTGCAGTCACGAAAGCTTCAAATCTAGAAATGAAAGTAAAATGTTACCTAAGCAACAAATCAATAAGAGTAATCATAAACAAGGCCCACGCTTAAATAACGAAAAATCCGGTGGTTAGGCGAGACGACACTGAACGTGGTGGGTAAATACAGACGACTTGGACATTGCACGCGCACACTCATTTGGAATCCAACGTCAGTGCGTCGCACACCTCGGCTAAAATAATACTGCAACGATTGTTTACGTAGGCTCTCGCGGCCAATATTATGGTTCACTATTAGTTTATTTTGGGTTAGATTGTCTCGGCTTAATGTACAATGTAATATGAAAACTGAAATTGTATTTACCAGGTAAAGCCCACTGAGCAATGGAGTAGCTCTTTTTCAGAGGCGACCTGGCCATATACGGTTGCACATTGAAGTGGCTTATTTCATGACACGTGGTAATTTAGAGTCCTAACCAAATAATCTAAACGCATGTTTTCTAAATGTGGAGGGGCAAAGTCGGAGGACCCGGAGGAAAATCCACGTGACCTCGGGGAAAGAGAGCACGCACACTCCAAATATGCAACAGGCATCGTCAGGGTCGGGATCGAACCCATGGACTCCTGCTGTATCAGGCCAGGGAGATAATATCTCCCCACCACGGCTCCCCTTAACCCTCCACCACCCATCGCAGCCAATCAAATCGAGTTGTCACGTGGGCAAATATGCCAATTGATTTGGTTTCTCAGCAAACCAGATAAATTTTGACAGTTTTGTACGACGCTTAGCCGGAGATTACTTCCATCATCATTGTGTGTTAACGAAATCTCAGCTCAAGCGCGAAAGTGCTTCCTGATCCGAATTCTTTTAAAAAATGTGTATATACCTCCACGATCTAACCCAAAAGAAACCTTCTCACATCTTCGGTCTCCGATGTGCGCATTTGGCCATCGACAACGAAGTACAAGCCGAAAACACGTCGGAGAATTATGCGGCGTCGACCCTCCCTCCCACTTCATCACAAACTGCCTTCTAATAACCAGGGCCAGCAGACGCCATCAACAAGATCACACACTTCATAGGCGTAAACTTTAATATTTTTATCTCCTCCAATTGTTTTTTTCCTTTTGCTTCTTTGATAAAAAAAAAACATTGCTTAGAATTTGCCAGTAAAACAGTGGAATAAATTAATATGATAAGGTAATGTTTTTTTTTATTTCTTTGTAACAGTTAATTGAGAAAAAAATGACAATGTAAAAGGTTGAAAATATAAAACTTCACAAACAGTTCTCCTCTGAGCACATTTAAGCAAATCGCCTTAAATAAGTCTTCATTCACAAATTTCAACATGATTTTGTTTGTCTTCAGCTATAACCACAACCGCCTCAAACTTGAATAAAATAACGTAAACTGGAGCAAAGCTTTCTTCAGAAGTCTGTTGGCCCTGACCGTAGCAAAACCCGAACTCGTACATTTTTTTTATTTTAATAAAAAAAAAATACTTTTCGTTATACACTTTTTTCCCCACACACTTGCATTTTCCTTCTCCACGCACTCCTTCCAACAGCAAGCACAAGCAGTGGTGCTCATCACTCCCACCACCCTCTGCCGATTTTTTCCCCTACTCGTAAAAGAACACTTCATCAGAGGGCAAGAGGCACGTTTGACGCACAAAAGCGTCTCTAGAACAAGAACACCACCACTACAGTACAACGTTACATATCCAACCCGTCCTATGTCCGTCCTCATCGATAAACCGCTCAAAACCAACGGTATTTGCGCACATCGTGAATTTAATCTTCTATAGATGTTCATACATTTTTTTTATGCAATCTCGCGTACTGTACATTTGACTACTTTTCAGGTGCAGTAAATAATTTCCCCACGTTTAAAGCAGCTTGCGCTTTATCTTTTTTTCCAGTAACCTGCATTTATTGTGCGTTATGTAACCATCCAACTTTTATAGATTTTCACGTATCTGACTTTTTTCACATATCAGCCTAAATCTCCAGTACATAGCGAATCAGATATCCGACGTTGTACTGCACAGGGCTTGAGATACACCTTGCAAAGATTTAACCAGAAGCATTTTCTTTAAACCCTCGAAGACAAAACGAGACTTCTGATCAATCAACGCTCTTGTTAACGTATACTCTTGCGTGATATTTCTCTTTTTCTTATATACTCGTATGTACATTTTTCTCTAAAGCACTTTCTTGTAAGGGATCACGTTCCCTACAGCCCGATCACCTTCAAACACATCCACGGCGCCAACACCACCTCCCACCACTCACACCACAACTCATCATCAAACTACAGATTAAACAGCTCTTCCTCTAGTCAATGCAAACACTGCACTTCAAACCTTACTCCATTTTTTTTAATGCCTCTATTTTTCTTAGGGTGCATTTTAAATGTTAAATAGTTTACACACTGGTACATACTTGATCTAATTACATGGGAACTGCATGAGACATTCAGACACTCAGAGACTACATCTTCTTTAGGAACTGACGGCTATGACATTGTGCTGTAAAGACATATATACCAGCATTGATGTGATAATTTTTTCCATAAAAAAACAACAACAAGGAAAACTACTTTTTTTGAAAAAGCACTTCTCAACTTCTCCCTCGGCCGCTTTGCTACCCACGATCAATGCTCGTCGACCTTTGACCCTGAAGGCGACTCTTCCTCTCTCCTCTCACCGGCCCCCTCCGAGGGAGTTTCGCCGCCATCATCATCATCATCATCGGCGGCGGCCGCTTCCGCCGTCTCGCCCTCTCCCTCCGAGATCGGCTGCATCGCCGGCGAGTGCCGCACCGACGCGAGCCTCAGGCCGCGGGGCCCGTGCCGAGCCCCCGGCGAAACAGCCACCCCGTCGCCCCTCACCCCCGCCCGGATCGCCAGCGGGTGCCGCGCCCGGTGCTCCCTGCGACCCGGCGTCCCGTTCCCCTGCCAGCCGGGGGACGACGCTGCCGCCGCCGGCGACTCGCGGTGACCGCGCGCGAGCGGCGACGCCGAGCCGTCGTCGGGTCGTGGAGAACCGGCGGCGGCCGCCGCGGCATTCTTGGTGTGCTTGAGCAGCTCGGCGGCCGACATCCTGGAGCCGGCGTCGGAGCGGGAGCCCTTACGCAGCAGCAGCGCCTTGAAATGCTCCTGGCTGGTTTGCGAGCGCCGGCCGTGAGGGGAGGACAGCCTCGGGGAGCCGACGATCGGCGATGTCACCACCGGCGAGCCCGGAGTGCTGTCCGATGAGCCCCTCTCGGCGGACTCCTTCCGGCACAGGAACTTCCTCTTTGACCTGCAGGTAGCGAAATAGAAAACGAAACGCGTTGGGGATGTGGCAGTTTGGTGGTGGTGTGGCCGAGCCGTACCGCGTTTGCTGCAGAGGTTCATGGCCCAAGCCCCTTGGGCGCCCTGGTTAACATTGAGGGTGTGCTTAACGTCCTAAATGCTACCCGGCGTCTTCTTCCTGTAACATTATTATTATTTTTAAAAAACCAGTAGGTCACGTGTGCTGGTTTCACGGTAAAAATTTGCCGAACTTCATAAGTGACTTGCAAATTGCTTGATTCGGAAAATCCACACAGCAGCATTGACCCTGGCTGTGAAACTACCATCGACGCCTTCCTGAGAGCCTTGCGCTACGAGAATGCCGCAAATGCAAACTGGGCAAACATTTCATTTTATTTGAGGGAGAACACACTGATGAATGTGCACGTGATCTACATGAAGTAAGATTCCCCGGACAGTAATACAGACTGTTGGGGCAAGCGCTGTCAGCAAGCACGTGTTAAGAACGGCATGCCGAGCGGGGAACTGGTGGGGCCAGTGCTTATTCCTGGCTAGTGGGCGGAGCGATCAAGAGAAGAGAAACCCAGCGTGGCTCCTTCTTGATGATGGACATCAACATAGAGAGGCCTTCATCAGGAGGCGCATCGATAACCAATGGTGCGTTTTTCAAGTGGAGGTTACTGTTTATCGATAATCACGGTGGCGAGGGGGCAGGTGGTCGTGGGTCTCACTTTCACCTGTAAATGGCTTCAAAGAGGTCGGCGGTTGTCATGGAGACCGAGGGGGATGTTACGAAGACGTCATCCTCGGATCGCGAGTTTGACCTCCGCATTGTCCCCTCGTCGTATTCTTCTGCAAGCCAGAGGAGTACAAGAGTGTTAAATGCCTCGGTGTCCGGTAATTTACATTGTAGCGTTCATTTTCACTCGGATAAACGGGTTTCACAAACCGTCGAAACACGTTCTGAGCACTAACGATATGGTACAGTCGAAAAGACTTACAGTATTGTGGATATCAGGCCGAAATTAGGTTTCATTTGTAAAGGCAAACTTATCCATCATATGATTTTGAAACCGTATCCAGTTTCAAAATCATCTGCACTATCGTAAATAATAGAACAGATAAGCATTCCCGGGGCCAATTAGCTGAAAGTTCGAAAATAATGGGGAAATTCATAAATGCATAATTTTCATGAATTCGTAATTTTTCCCACATTCACATCGAGTACATATGTACTCACTGCATATGCCGTTGATGTGAATAAAGTACAGTCCTTTGCCAGTCCACTGCTGAATGAAGGTCTCCCCCATGCCGTGCCGGGCATGGGGGATGTTTGACCACACTTAGCCACGTTGGTCAGCGCAGGTTGGCCGGAATCAACACGGTGCACGAACCACTGCGCCACTCCACACTACCAGAAAACAAAAAAAGGCCTCATATGGACCAATAAAAGTGTTTAACTTTACTTTTAGGACTGCATAACATGTTTTTGGATTGTAGGTACAAATTGAACATTTTATAACAAGGATCGATTGAAAAAATCCGACTTAATACATCACTCGGATGTCAAAAAACATTAAAAACGAAACAAACGAAGAGACGGACATGAAATCCACATCACTAACCTGCCACGACTTTCGCCATTCGAAACTCGAACACTTCATCGCCGACGTCGTCAGCCGACTCCTGCGAAACTCGCGTGCTGCCCTCCTCCGTCTCCGTGGCAACCGCCTCTTTCCCTCTCACTTGCTGCTCCTTACCCAGAATTCCCGGAGCTTCTTTCACAGCCGCCACAGGCACCTCTGTGTGCCGCTCGCACTTATCCTCCCACGGAGGTGACCCTCCGTTGCACGTGGCCACCCGCTCGGTTATATTTGCGCTGCCGTTTTCAATCGGCCTGGAGCTGTGCTCCACATCCTGGATGCTGGCTGAACCCTGATGAGACGACACTGCCGTGAACGCATGCGGCGACTTGGGGTGGGAGACGGACACGGAGTAGGACACGGACGGCGACGCTGGCGAGCGTGCCATCGTGGCTGTCGCTTGGTTGTTCTGGTGGCATTCCCGACCGCTGGGCGCCGCATCTTTGTACGAGCGAAGCACCAGCTGAGACCCCGAACTGTCCAACGCGCAGCCGGCACTTGAGGTTTCTGGTGGAGCGAACGACGGCTGATGGAGCAGAGCTGGGGTGGCTGGCGTCAAAGTCGATTCGTCCAGGCATTTCGGAAGCGGCTCGCTTTCTGAATTCTTGTTGGATTTAGTAACGCTCTCCGCACAGGAAACCTCGGCTTGGTTGACCCGTGCGGACGAACTGATGTCACATTTCGCTGTCTCTGCTGCCACTCCTGCCGCCACTGCCACCGCTGATGTGTGATACTGGTCAGAAGAGTCAATCGTCGGGTCTGCACATTTCTTCCTGTCCATGAAATCCTGAGCTTTGTGAGGTGACGCCGCCGAAGCCTGCACACTGGGCTTCGTGGCATCGGGTTGGCAGTGGCGGTGGCGGCGGTGTGCGCCGCAGTGGTGATATGCTGACACCGGCGCTGTGGCATGCGCCGGCCTCTGTGAATCCGTCAGGAGGTCTGGCAGTGGTTTCGGAAGCACACACGTCCCATTCTCCATCCGCAGCTTGACAAATTCGTAGTCCGGCACGGGCGTCCCCACCACCTTGCCCACGTGCCTATCTAGCACCTTGACGGCCGCAACAGCCGGATCCTGCATTTTGATGGCTCCACCGCCGCCGCCGTTGACGGGACCCATGACGCCGCTCGCGTACTGGCAGGGGAACGAGGCGGACTGCACGAGGTGGCCACGCTTGCTGTACAGTTCCGAGCAGGACGACATCACGCGGCTCAGCAAAATGCCGTCGAGCGAGGCGGTCACGAAGCACGGGTCCGGCGGAAAGTGAAACATGGGGGATTCTCGGTTTGGCTTTGTCGTTTGCCCCGCTGACATTGCCGAACCGGGCACCGCGGGGTAACTGTTCGCGACGATCTCTCTGTACTCGCCGGCCATCACCGGCGGCGGCGGCGGCTGCGGCCTGTGCGTGACGGGCGGCTTCAAGGAGGATGTCCGCTCGGGGACTTTAGGCTTGACCTTGACAACGGCGGGAGATCCGGAGCGCGGGAACAGCGGCGCCGGCACGAGCGAGGTCGGCGTGCCCGACTGGCTCGAGTAGCCGCTGGAGGGCGACGTGACGCTGCTCACCTTCTCGGGCGATGACGACTTGGACTGGCTCGAGGCGGTGGTGGCCGGCGAGGAGGGCGCGGCGCGCGGCGAGTTGCCGCTCAGCGCCTCGTCTGAGCCCAGCCTCTGGCACTCCACCACCGTGGTGCCGGTGGCCGTGCTGGAGCTCGACAGCGAGTGGTAGGCCTCACTCGGGAGCATCTCGTCATAGCTCCAGGAGTCCACAGACTCGGATCGACGGACGGTCGGAGTGGCGGCCACCGCCACCGCCGGTGTCATCGCCGGTGTCATCGCCGGTGTCATCGCCGGTGTCATCGCCGGTGTCATCGCCGGCACTTGGCATGAAACCGTGGCCCGTTCCGGACCTGCCGTGGGAGTCTCTGCAGCTGCCTCCGAGTTGTCTCGGAGCACCCACGGGTCTTCGTAGCGCGCGGTGTTGTTCTTCTGGCAGGTGGATGCGGCGTGAGTCGTCTTGATGTCCAGCTTCAGCGACCTCCTCAACTCGGCGAGCTGAGTCCCCTCCGGCGAGGCCCTCCCTCCGAGGAGCTCCTGAGCGTCGTGCGGCGCATAGCCCGCGGCCGGGATGACGTCGCCATTCGGGATCTTGAGGCCCCGATGGGGCCCGTTGTTGGCGGTGCTGACGAACGCGCTGCTGCTTTTTGGTGTCTCGCTTGTTGCGTGCGGTGCTGCTGTAGCATCGCGTACCCTGTGGTTGTTCAGCAGCGCGTCCTCGTGCCGGCCTGCGGTGCCGTTGTAAATTCTAAGTGCTCTCAGCTTCTCTTCCTCGCCGTGGGACGCCACCATCGCTCTCCGGGCGCAGCAACCGGCAAGAGCCGCCTGGCTTTCGGCCAGACTCGCGCCGTCTGAGGAATGCCGGCCGCTGGCGCCGGTTTTGCAGGCGCTGGCAATTTGAGGCTGCGCATCTCTGCGGAGAGAGACATCGCGCTTTGGCGGTGCCGGCTTCTGGCGCAGCTTGGTGATGGAGAAGCTGCGGTTGCGCATGCCCCTGCCGGGGTGGCTCGGCTCTGAGCTGGCGCTGCTGTAGCTGCGGCCGCGCAGCCCTGAGTCGAAGTGCATTGAGGTGTAGTAGCCGTCCATGTCCTCCGAAAACATGGAGCCGGCGTCCGACCTCTCGGACGACTCGGTTTCGGGAAAAACGCCCCGATGATGATGATGATGATGATGCGAGCCGGCTTCGCGAGCCGCTCCGCATTTTCCCACAACCTCCGAAGCGGCGCCGCCGCCCCTCTGTCTGCACATCGGCGCTCCGTCCGGATCAGCGGCAGCGCACGTGGCCGCCGCCGGCATTTGCCCGGGAGGCACCGGCGCCCCATTGTTCAGCTGCAGGCCCTGAACGTGGGCGGTGGAAGGTGCGCGCGACCGTCCGTGTGACGTGCACTGGTGCTGCTCGCGTGCCGCGGCTAGCGGGAGCGCGACACCGTTCACCAAACGTTTCGGTCGCTCATTACTTTTCAACCGACTTGTGCCGCCCGACAAGGACTCGCCGTGGCCGAGGTTGGCCATGTCCCCCGCCGTTTCAGTCCCGTCGGCGCCTCGGTTGGTCAAGCATACCCTGTCAGATCCGCTCGAGTTGGAGGGCAGAAACACGGAGCCCTCCTCTGAGCTCGCCGAGTCCCGGGCGTCCGAGTCGGTGCGATGCACCTCCACGCGCGTCGTGGCGTCCGCGTCCTCGCGACCCCGCGTTTGGCGATCCCCGTCCGTTACCGGGGAGCGTCCGGCAGCCAAGTCGCGGCCGAACTCCCGCCGGGCGGAAAAACCGACGGCGCTACCGCCGCCACCGCTGCCGCCCCTGCCGCTGTCTCGATCGTTGTTGTCATCGTCGTCGTCGTCGTCGTCGTCGTCGCTGTCGATATCCGCCGCGGCTCGGCGTGCGGCATTCGTGGCGAGAGCCGGGCCGCGCACGTCCCCCTGCGAGCGCGAGATGCGGTCGGGAGCACCGTCGCGCCGGTGCAGCAGAGCCCGCACGCGCCTCTCGCTGGGCGACACCACGTGGGGGGTCGGCGCCAGCAGGGCCCCCCCCCGGTGATTCTCTCGCCGCTGCTGCTGCTCCTGGTGGTGGTGCTCCCCGTCGTCCGTCTGGCAGGCCGAGTCGCACGTCTCGCGGGGCTCCAGCGCCGACAGGAACGTCGAGTTGCCCAGACGTGACAGCGAGTGGCAGCGCCAGCCGTCGGTGCCGTAGCAGCAGCCTGCGCATGCCGGGCGCACAGCGGACACCGTGTCATCGCCGAGCAAAATAAAACCGCCCCGAGACACCAACGCATGTCCATTTGGATTCCTGACTTGTCTGTGCTGATATTGGGTACAGTACATGCGGCTTTTCTCCAGTTCCTCTGCTTTGCTTTCCCATCATTTAAAAGAAATTGGCCAAAGTACCCCAACGCATGAACCTCTTGATATGAGGGTGTCCTGAAACTCGGTGAGACTTTTCCGGAGGCCGTCATCCACCGATGGGTCAAGGCTTCGCCATGCCGTGCGGATACGTGGGGGGTTTTTTTTTAGGCAGCGCGAATTTGATCAAGGTGGAGGTCATAGAGAGCAGAGCACCGTACAGCTCAACGATGGAAGTTAATTGCGGTGGCAGACACGAGGACCCAAGGAAGGAGGCGTGACACAAGTGGGAGGGACGGTGCCGCACCTGTGTGGCACAAGCTCAACGCGGTGCTTGGGCCAGGCTTATATGTGGGAGCAGGGTTGAATTTTAGCTGGGGTTCTTGCAAGCCAAAGAAAATATGCCCCCACCCAGCCCACCACATCCAGGCTACCTCTCGCTGCGACTGTGGCCACAAGCCATGACGTGCCCACTCCAGTCTACCAATCCGGAAAATATTCAATGAGAAATTAGAAATAGTGATTTTTTTTTATTGATGGTGTGCTTAAATGCATCTCATCTCAACCATTATTACGAAGGCAAAGTGGACACTGCATAGTTAAGAAGCAAGAGGAAGACAGTGAAAGATATGGCAGTGAGATGGGATTGGAGGCTACTACCAGCGGACAGGAACAACTCATACTCTTTGGTTCTTTCGGTAAAGTCACGTGTTGTTTCCGAAAAGTCGTGATTTAATAAAAAAAAATTTATGAAAAAAGTTTTTTCTTTTTCTTTTCTTTTATACCTACGTGACTTTACCCAAAGAATCAAAGAGTATGGAACATTGCAGTCACGAAAACTTAAGATAGGAACAACTCAGGAGAAGATGTAATGGATTCAACGGAGGAAGGCCTTTGCCCAGCTGTGGGAAGTTAGAGGTTGATAACGAATCTCTGCGTGAGGGGGGCTGGTGGTCATCATGATCACTGCTGGACGGTGGCAGAGCGCGGTGACGTGCGATATGTGCGGTTTGTTGCGCGCGCACGCACGTACCCAGCTCCCTGCGCACGTGCTCGGGGATGCCCGTGATGGTTTTCCTTCGCTGGAGACGCTTCTTGCGACGAACGATCGACTCCGAGGTGGCGAAGGAGCGACGCGCGCTGGCCTGGCGCTCGAAGTTGCTGCCTGCGCCACCCGCACGATTGACAACACGCGATATTCAGCACGCGCGCGCCAAGGGGATCCGTACCACTCGTGGCAGATGTGGCCACCTCCTGTTCAAGTGGAAGGTCGTGCGATGGTGGGAATCGTGACCCAGAACGCGGACCACACTGTGAACCGTCGTGAAGGCAAAGCGCGCGGCCCTGGAATTGCTCTTTGGTTCTTTCGCTAAAGTCACGTAGTTAGAAATAAAATATAAAAATCCAACCCAGCTTAAATATACGCTCCAAGCCTGGGGTGTTTCATTCAGATGCTGTCTTCCCGACAGACCTGTTCTTCACCTGAGGATGGCTGCTTGCGTTGTGGCCGAAACGTCGTGAGAATTATTTGATTATGTTTAATTTTAATTATTTTATTATTTCCCTTCTACGTGACTTTACCGAAAGAACCAAGAAGAGAAAATCAAACAAATCGCGATGTTTCGATCGCAACACAAGCGTCGTGATTTGTTTGATTTTATTTTATCTCTAACTACGTGACTCTACCGAAAGAACCAAAGAGTACGGATTCCTGCAGTCACGAAAGCTTCAAATCAAGCCCTGTTATCGCTCGCTCGCGTCACTGCTACCGCAAGGCCACGACACTAGGGCAGAGCTAGGAAGGGTATTTGACCTCTTCTTCCGAGTTCACGAGACGTGTTGGAAGAGGTGGGGGTGGCTCACACTTTACCCCGCCACGTGTGACTTGCAGAGCGACTAACTTTGCTGCGTCCAATTAAAATGCTGGGGGGACAGAGGCGGTGGTGGGGGGGGGAGGGATTTAAGAAGCCTGCACCGTCATTTTAACTGCCCTGCCAGGAAATCAAATCCAACCGGCAACCTGTGGAGTGAGCCACTGTGAGCCTCGGAAATTGAGTGGAGGCATTTCTAACATTGCTTCAGCTTCTAGATTTTAAGTTTTCGTGACTGCAAGGGTCCATACTCTTTGGTTTTTTCGGTAAAGTCACGTAGGTGAAAAAGGAAAGAAAAAGAAATTAAATCACACCAATTTTTCTGTGACGGTGCCACCTGAAGACGGAAGCTTGTGTTGCCTCCGAAACGTCGTGATTTAATTTATTTTATTTTTTACCTAAGTGACTTTACCGAAAAAACCAAAGAGTATTGCTTCAGCTTCCCCAAAACTGTACTTTGGCTCTCAGTCCTAAACGTGGACTCGCGAGTAGCGATCGGACACCATACACAATACGAATTCCAATATTTATACCTTAATATTGATGTGGCCAAATGTGGCTCAGAGGTTAAAGCGCTGAGCTGATGCAGTGGAGATCCTGGGTTGATGGCTTCAGTGACTGAACGACACTTTTGCTTTTGCACTTAATTCAACTAAATTCCAGCTCTGAAAATAAAATACATATTTATTTTAAAGAATACTCATTAAGCTTTCCCGCTGCTTACATGAATCATTGCTGCTATAATCACCCAGGGTGGAGTTGTGGTGCAGTGGTTAGCGTACCACAATCTCAACCAGGCGAGCTTGGTTTGCTTTCTTACCATGGCTAACGTCAGTGACAATGAACCTGGTGTCTCCCCGTCACCGAACTAAACCGACCAGCGTGCCAAAGAATGGGCAAACATCCTCAATGACCAGCAATGGATTGACAAGCCGCTGTAAATCATGATTGTCATCAAAGTCCGTGGTCCCAAAGCATACATCGCACCAGCCGTTACACCTTACGAGGCAAAACTTCAGCGGTACCGACTGCTATGCATGTCCAATCAAGCGTAATTGGGCGATTATGTTTTAAAAAACCCAAGGATGTTATATAATGTACTCTTTTTGACCATATAAAGGCGTTTGTTCCATGAAAGTTTTTGGCATGGACCTCCAGGATCTTTGGCCCGCGAACTAATTGCATTACCGTGACGATGACAACTGTAAAATAATAATAAACGGACCAGTGTCCTTTTGATCATGTCAAAATAAAATAAAGTAACATTTTAGTCCCATCCGCCAAAGCCTTCAGGCTTTTCTCGACCCACGTTTTCCAGCGGAATTAGTTTGACAGGCCACTGCTAAACAAACGTTGATTAAGTCAATTAAGATTCGTCAACAAAAAATTACTACCTGCTCACTATGCTCCCACATCTATGCTCCGGCATCCATGCTCTCGGCCTGCACCAACCCGCACCGGCAGAGGTCGCAACCGGGTACCCGATACCCGTACCCTACCCGATACCCGGCTACCCGTACCCGGCCGGGTACGGGTACGGGTACCCGTTTGCAACCCTGGTGTGGCCGGGTACGGATAGGCCGTGAGTCACTGGTGAGTAACCGTTTGTCACTCATTTCGGGTAGGGAACGGGTACGGGTAGGGAACGGGTACCTATACCCGGCCGGGTACGGGTACGGGTACCCATTTGCGACCCTGGTGCGGCCGGGTACAGGTACGGGTAAGGAATCAAAACCCGTTTGCGACCTCTGCGCACCGGGCAAGCGTGGAGAAGTATCGTCAAAGAACCCCCTCAACCCGCACAGGGGGGCGCGAGGGGTGGGAGTGGAGGGGGAGGCTCTCATCCAGCAGCGGATCGACAAAAAAATGGGCTGTACGTGGAGTCGCGCGTTGCGTTGTTTCACCGGACACGTTGATGGGCACGAGGTCGGAGACGATCTGGCACGCGGTCTCGCGCATGCGCTGCTCTGGTGTGGGCAGGGGCAGCTCCTCCGTCCAGTTGGTGCGACGGTCCAACGTGCACGGAACGTTGGGGACGGGGCCCCTGCGGTACTTCCTCAGCAGCGACGGCGGCCTTCCCTCTTCAACCGCTTCATCTCCTTCCTCGTCGTCGTCTTCCTCCACGTGGCTGCGTGGGAGGCACTGCGAGGCGTCGGAGAGGAGAGAATCGTTTTGGTTATTTTTGCCGCGGTCAAGAATATACAGAACGGAGCGGCGCTTATTTGAAACGGTGGGCGACGGATCACCGCGCCGGATTCCCCCGGTGAAGCCGGTGGTGGAAATTCCACGTTAGTATGACAAGGCACAGCCTCGTCTGACTTAGCGGAAACAATTGCCGTGGACTCTCCACGAAGGGAACAATGTTATTTGTAAAACTGCTTTGGCAGTGGGGTGCGCACGCACAAACCACAAAAACTCAACACGTTCCGCAAAAACACTGCCCTGAGAAAGAGAGCAATTACCCAAAATATCGCCTATTATGGACTTTCTTCCGATTTAAGAGTCTCGTGTTATCAACGAACGTGTTGATGTGGCCACGGGGAGCTGACCGCCATCTGAACTCGCGACCCCGGCGATCATGAACCCAACGTTCGACAGGCAGAACTATTCCAGCTGTCTGTCTGTCGCACACACACACACGAGTTGCTTTCCTCTCGTTTAACACGGGCACCGGCAAACTCACCAATTATTTCCTGCGAGCATGCGGACTATCCAACGAACTCGTCGGCAATTGCTCTGGAAAAGCGACACGGAAGATTCGGCAAAAAAATCTCGTTTAGCCCAAAAAATGTGCTCGACGCCGCGGTTTCTCCGACTATAATGGACCTCGTCGCAAACCAGAACCGCTCCTGCTGCCGCTGCCCTATACACAGCCTCACGCCATCCTCGCCGTGCCCCCAAACGCCAAACCCCTACAACCCCCACCGCCCACACGGTACTTACGGCCAAATAAGTTTTTTATTCACCCGTCGTCATGGCGACATCAGCACTGGCTGGAGCTTCGTCGCAGGAACACACACACACACAACAAAGAGACGGGGAGTCCTCTGACAATCCGTGGGGTGCGGGGCTCTTCGACAGCCCCGTCGTCGTCTTCGTCGTCATCACCGTCGTCGTCGGCGGCGACTCACAGAGCTTAGCTTTCTGGCCAGCGATTTGAGACGAAAACAAAAACGCTGGAAAGCTTCACGAGACGCGTCGCTGGCCGCGGAAAGGAATGAAAAACGAAATCCGACGCGGGTTTATGCGTTCGGGGTTCTCCTCGCGACGGACGGACGACACGGCCTCGCCCCCGAGCCCCGAGTGTGCGGCTGCCGATTGTGTGCACGCGCCCTGCTGTTGTTTCGTTCGCGTGTGCACCCCCCCCCCCGCCCCCCCCAATTCTCCAGTCTGCTGCTCCTCCTCCCGCGAGCTCGAATCCAACACCCAACCCAAGCCGAGCCTCCAATGCCCCTTCCCCAGTGTCCCTTAGAGAATGAGCCACTATAATCCTGGGTCCACCCAACCCATCCCAAGTGCAGCTCCCCACGAACCTCCCTTCACCACCCCCACCCCCTCCCACCCCCCGTGGTGCGAAACCCATACAGATTTATGGCCATCATATGGCTTTCACTGGGCTTGTTTATTGGCATTATTATAATTGTTATTATAGCGTGAATTTACAAGGGCAGTCACTTAGTGTGACGTGATATAAATGACGGGAAGTTGAGATTTTTTTTAGTACGTTCAACTATAAATTGTGACTCCAGCTTCATGCTTGCTGAAAGTGGCTTTTTGTGAAAATCGAGCAGAAATAAGTTTGCTGTGTCGTGGTGAGTAAGCTATGCTATGGACCCGGTGACCTGGATTAGATTCCTTCCCACAGCCAAAGCATCGAGTGAGTGGTTGTGGAGTGGTTAGTAAGCTATGCTATGGACCCGGTGACCTGGATTAGATTCCTTCCCACAGCCAAAGCATCGAGTGAGTGGTTGTGGAGTGGTTAGTAAGTTGCGCTACGAACCCGGCAACCTGAATTCCCGCTCATGGCGAACATCAGTGGTGCATAGCTAACAACCGTGCCTCCCCTAGTCCACTCAGACTTTAATTGAGTGCCTGGTGCACTGTTCCAGTCGTCATAGGGTCTCGCTTGCAGCATTTACCCACACATTTTACAAGGGCTATACAGGGGATCTTTGTCTATATCACTCAAACATCCATGCCTTTCTGAAATGTTAGTGCGACTGACACACACACAGACGGACATGAACTGATGTGATGTATAGTGTAAATTTACATGTTTACAATGTATATAAATTGTTTAGCTGCACTTGTCAGATGTATTTACGCGAAAACTCACGTGGCATTTGTTCGTAAGCGTTTTGTCGCGTACAACAAATAGAGTGTGCACGGAGATTCCCCCACGTAGCCTTCAAAAGAATGTTGGGGCCGGTGTTTTTAGCGAGCACCTATGGTGGAAGGGCACGGCGCACCAGAACCACACCCTGGCCGCCTTTGTCTCCCACGTGCTGAGGTTTACAGATACTCGTTTAAGGTTGAGCCGACCTAAGGGTTGGCCAAGGACCAGTTCAGATATCCACCACTGATGTCGACCTCATCAGTCAAACTCGGGTCGCTGGATTCGTAGCACAGTGCCGTAACCACTACACCACCACTCCCCCCAGGATGCACACAAAAATACAAAGACAAAGATCCTCCGTATAGCCTGAACAGACTGTTGGGGCAAGTGCTGTCAGCGAGCTTTTATGAAGACTGGCACGGCACAGGAGGGAGTGGTTGGCCAAAACCACGCCCGGCCACCTTTGTCTCCCCAGTGGCGATGTTATCATACCGCACCAGGTACCCATTTGAGACTAAGTCGACCAAGGGGAGGCCCGTGACCGGTTCAGATAATCGTTACTGGTGTTGGCCATGAGTGAGACTCAAACTCGGGTCGCCGTGTTTGTAGCGGAGCGCGTTAACTGCTACACCACCGCTCTGCACACACAAACACCCACTCACACAAACACCCACATACACAAACACACACAAAGACCCACACACACAAACACACACAAACACCCACCCACACACACAAACACCCCCACACACCCACACACACAAACACCCACACACACAAACACCCACACACACACAAAGGCAGACAGACCGACAGCCAGTGTCACGTCCTCATATTAGTTACACCGCCTCAAATACAAATAAAATAGCGCCAGTCTTTTGGTTAATTACCCTCATTTATACTTTTATATATTTATATATTTCAAGCCAAATCAGCTTCCTTCGCCATGACACAACAATGCCAGTTAGTGACGGCCCAGTGGGTCGGCTTGGTTAATGGCGGGGATGGGTCATTATCCGCGGGTGGCTGATTAACGCTGTCCCATCATCGCATGAGGCCCCCCCCCCCCGGCTGTCTTTCGCCACCCACATCTGTGGTGGTAGCACCCGGCTGCCACCTCTCTGTACGGTACTTGCAAAAGTACTTTGCGCGTGGATAGTGCCCGATGCACAGACACGTCACCGCCAATCGCCACTGCCCTGGAAAAAATTCTTTATTGCAGTGGCACGAAATCCCGGTCACGTTCGACGCGAAATACCACCTCGTCAAAGATAATACTACACACGGGTCATCCCATCGCATGTAAAAATGTTTATTCTTAGCCGGAGTAAAACCTTTAATCTCCTTGGCACGGCGGTCTCATCTGACCTCTGGCCCGGCAAGACCGTGTTACTAATCTGGATAAGGAAGCTTGGTTTGTATTTTCTTCTGCCAAAGCCTTCATCCATCACTGCGGTTGCGCAGAGCACAAATTCCTCCCAAGTTGAATTCCTACTGCCAACATATCAGGGGTGGAGGCCCCCAGTTACCACCTAACTTGCCCCCCCCCCCCCCCCCCCCCCGAGTACAGAGTGAAGCAACGGTCAGGGTGGTTGATGATCCAGGACGCTCGATGCTCACTCGCACACCCGGTGGTCAGTCGCCTCCCCGTCACTCTTCTACCGCTACTACCGTGGTCTCTGTTCCTGTCAACTTCACTCATTGCTTCCTCCACCCGTGTTGAGCACTCGGTCTAACAGGCACTGTTTCGTCTCATCCTGCACACTGTGTCCAACCACCATCAATTAGAAAGTCAAAAGTGCCATTTGTTGCTGGCTGCTTGATGCGTTGGGCCTTTGGCCCTGTGCTCAGCAACCGTGATCGAAATGCCAGCGTAAAGAATCCTGCAATGCTTTTCCAGAGTGCGTTCGTCCTTCGGAGGTTCTAATTATCGGTGACATCCGCTCCCCGTTGGTGAATTTGTCCACTTTGCTCGAGGGTTAAGATCCCGAACAGCAACGCAACTCCATGCCAACGTTGTGTTCACGACGTCGGATCATCTTCACGAGAGCTCTCCTGACCCACCCTATCTTTTTTGCACACACGCAGCGAATTGCCGTTCACGCTTTCTACATCAGGTGGGGGAAGTGTTTGAAGAATTAGAAAAAATCTACGGGACACGTGGCTCACTGGGGAGCCTCCGGTGGCTCCCAGAGCGGCCGACGAGGGGCGCAACTCGGGGCCCACGAGTTGGGGGGGTCACGGCGTGGATCGTCAGCCAGGCCCGACCATCTCGCCCAACTCCGCCCAACAACGTAGGCATGAGCGCAGGCAGAGTGGAAGAGGACAGATGTCCCCATCCCTCCACAATCCACTTTTGGAGTGAGGAAGCAGGCCATATGCTGCATCTCATCAATAGGTTTCATGGGTATTCTTGCAGTGGCATCGCTATGGAGTGTGTGCAGGCGGTGTAACTGCACCTGGGACTATGGGTCAGATGGGGCCCAGGCACCAGGCTACGAAGAGGGGGAATGTCCTTTGTTACTCCACATGGTTACCCTTGGTTACTCCACATGGTTACCCTTGGTTACTTCACATGGTTACCCTTTGTTACTCCACATGGTTACCCTTGGTTACTCCACATGGTTACCCTTGGTTACTCCACATGGTTACCCTTGGTTATTCCACATGGCTCCCCCTAGCGACTTCACATGAACTCCCATGGCTATTAGTTGCCCCAGTAACTTTAAAATCAGTAGTTTTTTCTACCAAACAATGCTGCTTTGTCAAGTTCCACTACTTCTATCATGGAACCCAACCCTCCCCCGGCAAAAAAAAACACTCGTTGCACTGTAAGTTAAACGAAGGGGTCGAGTGGTGGTGCAGTGGTTATCCCGCTGCGCTATAAGCCTGGCGCCATGAGTTCGATTCCCAGCCTTGGCGAAAGTGTCGGTGTTGTTATCGGGTCCTCGTTTCGCCCCCACTCTGACCGTCGTGGTAAAGTATGGTCGATCAACCCCATGGCTAACATGGCTTTGGGGAGGCCTTCATCTGGCAATGGGTTCACAAAGGCCTGTAAATTAATCATTGAATTGCTCTTCTATAATTTGATCAATTAAAAACAAAAAACTTTTGAAATTATTTCTGCCTTCAATATCTGCTGCACGTGATTCTGGCATGCACGTAGAGCCCACTGGTCAATCCGCTGCAGGATGAGCGCCTCTCCACAGCGTTCGGGTCGTTTGACCATACTTCACCACGCTGGTTAGCACGACCTGGTCAAAGTTCGGGGGAGTACAGAACAGCAGCGTATTTTTCTGCACAGCCCCGTGCTGTCCACAACGCCCATGACAACGGGGCCGGTGCAGAATCTGAATCAGCTAGAAAGCTTTTTTTTCACAGATGTCTCTTTCGCATTGTGGGCACCCAACCGAGTGCAAATCAGGCTCGAGCTTGATTTTGCTTCCGAGCTTGTGATGGGACAGAACAGCATTCCGGGTTGACTTGGTGATGGGCCAGAATTCTTGTAAGTTCGGCGAAAGAAAAACAAAACAAATACCAGTGGGTGAAAACGTCCGTGAATGATTTGATGCCAATGAGCGGAAGGGAACTCCAGTGAATGTCTGGCCGGAGAGACTCTCTCTCTCCGTGCAGTTGTTGTTTTCGTGGCTTCGCCCGGAGCCTCCTTGCGCTCGCACGCATCGCGCGGCAGCTGTCGCCGGCGCAAGTGGCCACAGGGGGAGGGTCATGGACGGCACCGGAGAGAGAGAGAGGGCTTTTCGTTTTTTGGAAGAAAAAAAATGTTTGCCATCCAGTTTGGGCACCATCATTGCGGTCATCGACAGTTACATTTCACATCCTGGCAAAAGCTTACGACACACACCCTGTGTCCACCAAATCGCACACCCTCCAGTTGGCGGATAAGGTCAGGGATGAAGAACGTTTGTGGAAATGGAGAGGACTCGGCCTTGTCACCTGTCCTGGTTTTCCCAGGATCGTCCTCTCTTCGAAGTAGCTGTCGAATCTGCGTGCCTTGCCAAGGCCGTCGAGTCCCAGGTGTCATCGGTTGGGTTATAATAAATACGGTGCATTTGCATGGAGTTCGCTGCGGGAGGTATTCTTCTTCCCATGATGCATCCTGGCTTTTTTGTACTTCAGAGGAAGCGACCAGAAGAGGAACCCGAGGCCCTTTGGAGCCACCTCTGTTGAACCCTCAACCATCTTATCCACAATCCCTTGCGCTGGTGAACGACATTATTGAAGGTCAGCCAGCTGTCTGACACTTGTTTTTCCTAAAGCAGCGCGCTTGACGTTAAACAAAGTTACGGTGAATTTGGCTAGATTTTAGTAATGTTTGGCTTGTGTTAAGCAGGTGGAGAGGTAGTAGTTAGCGCACTGCACTCTGAACCCGGTGGATCCAAGTTCGATTCCCGGCCACAGTGGTGAGACTCGCATTACCCCCCACCACACACGCCCCCTCACCACCCTTCAACAAACCCACGCCGACCAACGTGGCGAAGTATGGTTAAAAACAAAACACGACTTCAACAAACGACATGGTAAATGGGGTGGGGTGGGGCGGGAGCATCTTTTTCTATCAGTGGATTGAGAATGGCTGCAAATATTAAGCCCTCGAGTTGTGTGGGGGTCACGTGCAACCCTCCGCACCTGCGATCTGCACGGTTGGGCTACGAAATTCACCGCACACGCAGCTGTGGTCCGATTCAAGCGGCGGCCGGTGTTCGCACAGCAGGGCGTTTATAAAGCCACATCTAAAATGGGACCGTGGCCCCAAACAACCCCACTTGGCCAAAAAGAGCACGGCTGAGCCTCTCAAGGACTACCGCAAAGGCAATCAAGCACAATTCCGCCCCGCCAAGTACGGAATTTTTCTCTTTCCCTCCAACCCCTCCATCACCTCCCTCGCAGAAATTAACCGGCGGCAGAGTCGCGGCTCCGCACGTCGAGAGAAAGCCATGTCGTGAAGAGGCAGTTCCCCCCCCCCGCCCTGCCCGCTGCGCGACGGAGAAGCCACATCCCTAAATGGCGTCACCCGCGATGCTACAGTCAACACGGCAGCGTAAAAGAAAGAAAAAAAAACCTCATGAATAATGTAATTTGATTATAATATATGAGCGGATGCACCTCGGCGCAGTAATATTTTATGAACACCGTTCTAAAAGTGGGAGCTCTTTTTTTTCTTCTGGCGTTATAAGCATTTGTACAACTGTCACAAAAAAAATGCCCTTGCTATAGGTAAAAGTTAAAGGCACGGGCCTGCAACTGCTTGTTCACGCCACTGCTGGCGGAAGGCCCTCCACTAGACAGAGCTCCGAAGGGTCCCTCCGGAGGGTGCACGCATTATCGCTTAAAAAATGTAACATTGCACGTGGTAAATATTGGTCGCTGTGCCCTTTGACCCTTAGAGATCACAGTGTCCTCCGTCCTGCGTCCGTCCTGCACCTTGCGCCGCTGAAGGAGGAAAAAGGAGGTTCAATCTCCGCTCTTCACTGCCTACGCACCCGCTTTACTATGAGCGACATCGCAACTGGGGGGAGAAGGGAGCAAAAAAAAAACTCGGCCCATCAAACGGGAACGGCAGAATGGCAGTAACGCACGAGAGGGTGATAACATCGCTGAACCACCGTCTCTCTCTCGTGGCTGGCAGCGTTTCATCTCGCGAACGAACGAGGGTTGAAAAAAAAGAAGTGGCAGCTTTGTTTTGTATGCTGCACCGGGTATATTAATCGGTTACCCTGGGAGACCCTAGCCTCCCTGCCTAGCCAGCACAGTTCTGGAAGCCCCCATCCTCCCCTTTACGCTTCCATCTCTGCTTCCACCCTCCTCCCTCCCTTCGCCCCCTCCCCGCCCGCCACCACCCTCCACAACTGCTCCATCCCCCCCTCTCTCTCTCCTTGGTAGCACCCGAATTGACGGACGACGCACACAAAGGCCTTTTCTGTCTCGATGCGCGATTGGCTTTCCTGCCAAAGATCGCTTCACAAAGCCAGAGCCCCCCCCCCCCCGCCACGGGGGACGTGGGCCGACTCTCAACGACCGCGAAACACTCCCCACCCCGATGACTCCGGCCTCGTTTGCAGCCTGCTTTTAAAAAAAAATGTTTTACAAAAATCCACCCCCCCGTTTTTTTGTGCTACAGCTGACAATTTTGCTCGCGTAGATTTTTGTTGTTGTTGCGTTTTTAAACCAATGCACGGTACGTATTTCTGTAGATAAATCCATTGCGCTGGCTGCTACGGATATCGCAAGGTTCCGAAATGCTTAAGCAGAGCAGCGAGCCACAAGCGAAAGCCACCGAGTGACTGTAGCGTGGATTTGTAATACTGCACAACAGCAGCAGCCAGGCCTGGCGTGCCTTACCGCCCAACGCGCACACACACAACACAAAAACGCGCGTGCGTAAAAACCGACCGCACGATCCTCGCACGACACCGCCAAGCGTCGCGATCGCGATTAAATCCCGCCGACGATTTCTCTCCGGGCGGATTTCATCGGGCCGCCAAAACTTGGGCGAGGGACAGCGTCTTACCTTGGGGCTCCAGGGAGTGACGCTACAGCACCCGCTCCGTTCCGTCACGTGGCGGCTGCCGCCGTCGCCACCGCTGCCACCACCACCGCCGCCAGCAGCAGCAGCACTGCCGGAGCTCACAGCCTTAATGGTGGCACACGCGCGGGGAAACGGTGGATCAATGCCAGCGCGCGTCAGTGGCCCAGAAGACGCAGATGGACCCAGTGAGCGTGATGTAATCCCGCAGTGATGTCCACTGTCATCGGTGTCTTGCGCATTCATTCATTCCTTGGTTCGTTCATTCATTCGCTTGCTCGCTCGCTCGTTTTGTTTGGCCATTCGTGAGGTCTACCTTCTCCGTGCGCGGCTACTGAAAATTAATTCTCTTCGTTTCATACAAAAATTCTAATCGTCATAATGTCTTCATGAAATGCTAGATTGAGATTGTCTAGTGTAAAAAAAAACACCCGTTCGGTTCGCTACATTACAAATGGTCACCACAATCACAATTACATTTTTTTAAAATAACAATTTAAGCGTAAAAATATTTTTGCTTTAACAATGAACACACGTCGCTTCGCCGCAAACTCGATCGCCAAATGCGACGGTGCAATGAAAAAAAAAATGTCATGTTACGTTTTTTTTTTTATCGCTCATTAGACATTCTCGAATTCACACCTTTCTCAAGGCCACGTCGGCCTCCTACTGGCAGAAGATGAGCGGTGCTGACGGATAAGCGCGCATGACATCACCGCGGCCGCTGGAACATCGCTCTAATGGTGCGGTGCTTCATCCCTTCGCGGCCGCGCCTTCCGTCGCGAACGAGATAGGCCGCCCACAAGGGCAAGCGTAATGAGGAGGGCATCGCATGCACGCCTCCTCGGCATGTCCGTTCCTTTCAATGTGACGACTGCGCCATAAAAAATAATGCCCTGGGCCCCCCCTCCCCCACCCCCGCTGCCAACCGAAATATGGCACTGCTGCGAGACGGATTGCACCATCATGTTGCGATGTCCCTTAAAGCAAAGCGAGTCCGAGTTGGGATCATTAGACGCGTCCATATGAAGAAGAAAAAATTAACCCGTAAAAACAAAGTTTTTCACTATAAATCCTTTATATGCGTGGCGGCTAGAGTCCTCTCGTCCTCTGGCTTGAGATGGCTGCCACCTATGGGTCAGATGATTGCCTGCCACCATTAAGCAATTGGTAATTAAATATAATTTATTTTTTGCTAAAAAGTGTAACATTTTGGATAAATTTTTTCACGAAAATAAATTGTCACGCACAACGAGTCTGTGTGCAAAATGTCAGCTCGATTGGATGACGGGAAGTGGGTTAAAAAACGACCGAAAGATTTGCACGGTCGTAAGCGCGCAAGCAAGCAAGCAAGTGAACTTAATATAAAGGATTTTTTAAAAAGAAGCATGCATTGAAATAATTCTGAAAGAAGCGTAATAGAGTGGGCATCATAAACTAGAGTTGAATGGTGCAGTCGGGTGAGATGTGTACATATTATGACATCACAGATCGTGAGACACATCATATGATCATTGTCATGGCCACTGTGGGGATCCGGACACCCCTTACAATTTGTCTTTCTGTCGCTGAGAGACATCCACAACATTTTGGACAAAAAATTCTGGCATTTTTGAGACCCGTGTCTTTCTCCGTTGAGCAAGGCGATACAAATGCCGATATTCCAAAGACAGAACATTTCAATAAACAGCAACGCATGGATGGTTGGGCTCGGTATGGAATCATTAGCCAGTATAATAGTTGTATGGAAAGCTGGACAAATGCAAACACCCTACAAGCAACGTAGAAGCAACGGAAATGTGGTTTAAGGACGAGATGAGTAAACTTGCATGTATTTCAGATAGGAGGGTGCACAACCAGAATATTAATGAGAATAATGAGAGAAAGGCAATGTTAGCTTTCTTGGATATGGGAAGAGAAGGCGAGAGCGAATATAAATGTGATCTTGACCGGGAATCATGATCGGTACAAGACAGCAAATTAAGCAACATAACCACATTTAACAATTGGATGCGACTGGAAGGAATATCTTGAGTCAATATCATGGACAGGGATGACTGGAAGACAAGGTCATGATCGCAGACATCTTTCAGAAAGGACATGGCACACAGACCGGGAGAGAGTTGTACTGTAAAGATTTCATGTATCTAATAAGAGGTTCTTTGGGATAGATCGCATGAATCTAAATGTGTCGCTTAAACCCTCCACCACCCGACACAACCAATTACAGTAAAACCTTGGATTGCGAGCATAATTTGTTCCTGAAACGTGTTTGTAATCCAAAGCACTCGTATATCAGTTGTGATCACGTGACACTCGGCAGACAAAGCGTATACACGTACTACTCGTATTGCAAGACCTCGCTCGTTTATCAAATTAATATTTATTTTAAAATTTAGCTCGTCTTGCAAAACACTCGCAGACCAAGTAACTCGCAATCCAAGGTTTTACTGTCGTAAGGTTATTAATTGGCTGTGTCGGTTACTAATTGGCTGTGTCGGGTGGTGGCGGGTTTAACGACACATTTATATTTACGCGAACTAACCCACCAAAAAACCTCTATTATGGATGACATCGGTCGCGAAAGCCTGCGTGTTAAACAGATTTCATGTCAAATACTGCAGTGAACTCCTCTTATCTGTGATCAGGTGGGGGGGGGAGCAACATCACGGACACCGTCTGTGATCTCCCCGTTAACCACGGGGACCATTCCCTCGCCAGTCGCCCTCAACATCCACAGTTGCGGCTGCAACCCTGGTGCATTATGGGTAATGTTTTACACACAACACGTGTGTCCAGAATATGGAGACATGGGAGGTATGTTTCGATTTAAAGCTTTCGTGACTGCAGGGATTCATCTTCTTGGTTCTTTCGATAAAGTCACGTAGAATGGAAATAATAAAATAATAAAATAATAAAACATAATAAAATAATTCTCACGACGTTTCGGCCACAACGCAAGCAGCTGTCCTCAGGTGAAGAACAGGTCTGTCAGAAAGACAGGCCACAACGCAAGCAGAAAGACAGCTTCTGAAGCTGTCTTTCTGCTTGCGTTGTGGCCGAAACGTCGTGAGAATTATTTGATTATGTTAAAATTTTTTATTATTATTTTTATTTCCATTCTACGTGACTTTACCTAAAGAACCAAGAAGATGGGAGGTATGTTTATGTATACATGTTTAACATTTTCGTGCCTTTCGTGCGTTGGGTTAAAGGAGTTCGTGGTTGTAATGAAGTGATCATCAACAATCTGGAGATCGCATCGAAGCTGCGGAAATGTTGAGCGAAGCGTGCGCGCTTTGAATCGTAGACGAGGGGGTCGGGCGATGACGGAAAATGTGAAATACTTCGCTCGAGACGGGAAGAAATGTTTCTTCAAACGTAAACACGCGCATCTGGAAATACACCAGCCAGCCTGGAGTCTGGGAGTTTCCCTCTCTCTCAGCGAGCATAACAAATCATGCCTTTCATTGCTCCGATTTCAATTTAAAGAACCGCTGTATGGTCACTGAAAAAGCAACAATTCACTGTGTATATTGTAGCAGGCAAAGGTGCAGCCCTGCAATTGCTTGCTCATACCGCTGCTGGTGGAAGGATCCGCACTAAAAAGGAGCTCTGGTGAACCCCTCGAGGGTATTTGGCCTACTCTTCCACGCTGGCCAGACGTCTTAGAAGAGGTTTGAGTAACGAGACTTTACCCCACCACGTGCGTCCTGCCGATACAATCTCAAAAAAGGCGCCCAAGTCCTTTCCCAAAGACGTCGGGGGATGAACGGCCTTCGATTTATCTCCGTGATATTACCCAAGACGTTTGCATTAGATAATCCCAGTTGCGTCCAATAGTCAAAATGTCTTCATGTGCTTGACGACTAACTGTGGTGCACCCACTTCTGCTGCTGAGGTGGGATGGAGGCGGAAGGATTTAATGAACTTCCATCGTCTTCTTGGTTCTGTCGGTAAAGTCACGTAGAAGGGAAATAATAGAATAATAATAGTAAAACATAATAAAATTCTCACGACGTTTCGGCCACAACACAAGCAGAGCTGTCTGAAAGACAGCGCTCCAAGCTTGGAGCGCTGTCTTTCAGACAGCTCTGTCTTCACCTGAGGACGGCTGCTTGCGTTGTGGCCGAAACGTCGTGAGAATTATATTTTATCATGTTTTAGTTTTATTATTTTATTACTTCCCTTCTACGTGACTTTACCGAAAGAACCAAGAAGATGAATCCCTGCAGTCATGAAAGCTTTAAATCGAAATGAACTTCCATCGGTTTCAACCGCCACGCCGGGAGTTGGAATCGAACCGGCGGCCTCGGGATCGCAAAGCCAGCGCGTTCATCGGTGCACCACTGCGGAAGCGTCCTGCTCGCTGTGCCGACTCAGAGTGACACTCTCCCATTCATCATTCGCATGGTCTTACGATGGAACAAAAATACATCTCATTGGGGCGACATTTCAGACAATAACCCCTCTTCAGAATCACTCGGCCGCGATCGTCTCGTGTTCTCCGATGGAAGAGCGTGGACGCGACTTCGAGAAAGTGACGTCACATCCTGTGAATGAACAATTTTCAGATCGATCTGAAACGTTTCATTCTTTTGGATCGTCTGAAATTTCAAATCTCGAAACGATTCTAGATTTGAAGCTTTCGTGACTGCAAGGATTAATATTCTTAGGTTTTTTCGGTAAAGTCACGTAGGTAAAAATTTTAAATTAATAAAAGTAAAATAAAATAAAAATAAAATAAAAATCACGACGTTTCGGAGGCAACACAAGCTTCTGTCTTCAGGTGGAACCTACGTGACTTTACCGAAAAAACCTAAGAACTCGAAACGATTGTCAGACTTTTCAAATCAGCAGCACATCCCCGATCTCATGTTGTATGTCGCAGCCTGTGGGAGTCTGGGGCGAGTTCAACCTACCGGCGAAGGCGGAGGAGCCCTCAGTGTGACCCGAATGGATTCACGGGGCGACTCGGTGGACGCTTGACTCCCCGTTACACTGTCCTGATCTGTACACACGCACACACACACACAAACAAAATAAAGATCCCCCATATAGACTTAATGGACTGTTGGGGCAATCGCTGTTAGCGAGATGCACCTATGAAGGCCGATACGGCGCACGAGGGGGTGGGTGGCCAGCACCACACACCGCACCCGATATTCATTTGAGGCTGAGTCAACCTAGGGGAGGCCCAGGACCGTTTCAGATAATCATCACTGCTGTTGGCCATGAGCGGGAATCGAACTCGGGTCGCCGGGTTCGAAGTGCAGTGCGCTAATTGCGACACGACCACTCCCCAAGCACGCACACACGCATGCACATGACACGTGTATACACACGTGTTCATCACGCCAACAACATCACAACTACAACAGCTGCCAATTGCCACCCCCAACCCCCCTCGTTTCAAGTTTGACGTTGATTCTGTTTCACCAGGTGAGAAGCCACGTGACCAGGATCGAGTATAATTTTCAAAAACGACAAACACAAACACAAAGGACAGCAATGAAGAAAATAGCAATCGGAATAAAAAAAACAAAAGCATCACACGAGGAATACAATTACATTAAAATTTCGCACGAACATAAATCTACGATAAGTCGAAAATAAATATTTAATTTCCTGCAGCGCAAATCGGCTTGGGCAGATTTACCTCCAGATTGACCACAGGGCAAAATGATCAAACTCAGGAACATTGCGGGTTGACCATAACACGAATATGTAAACAACATCACCAGATTGCGTGTGACAGGCTAAGCGTACTTTAAGGTCACGTGGAGTGCCGAAGGGAAATTTCCAGCGTACACCGACAAAGCTGGATTCCGGAATGTCAGACCTGGCGGAGGTGGACTTACCAAATCGTGACGATGAGCTAAGTAAGGGAGATACTGAGGCGATGGACTCAGGAAGTGAAGATTAAAGGAGCTCGTTTGAGCGGGTGACACAGGTCAAAAGACAGGCAAACGTAAACAAGACAAAACCTCAGACAATTCTGGGGCAAGTGCTGCTGCGAAAGATTGTCAGGGCCAGCTCCACACCCAGCCGCCTTTGTCTCCCCAGTGATGATGTTCACAGAGCACACCAGGTACTCATTTGAGGCCAAGTCAACCCAGGGGTGACCCAGAAGCAGTTCAGATGTCACTCGCCACTGATCTAATCCATGGCTGCTAATCGGACCCAAGGTGGCCGGTTCGAAGCAAAGTCCACGCGTGCACACGCAGAGACCCGCCGTGCAGCCTTCTTATAGGCCGCCGCTGGGGCAGCTGCTGTTAGCGAGCCCCTGTTTGGGTTGGAACGGCGCGTGAACGGGAGCGGCATGGCCAGTGGCACATCCGGCCACCTTTTGTTGGTCTCCAGCGAGGGCGTTGAGACGCCACGGCGAGTTGGCCTAGGAGAGGTGTCCCGGAAACCACCGGTTATGATAACCCCTGGTCGAGCCACTGCTGGATGAAGGCCTGCGTCATGCCGTGGCCATCGTGCAGGGTTTGTTTGCTCTGCCACGCTGGCCCAGAACCGATGGAGAGTTCACAAACTCGGGTCGCCGGGTTCAGTAGGAGCAGCGCGCTAACGCCTTTAGGGACAGTCCATAAATGACGTCACGCGATTTTGGACGATTTTTGACCCCCCCCCCCTCGTCACACGGCGTCACAAAAAGTCAGACCCCCCCCCCTCAAATATGACGTCACAAAGCTCTGCCCCCCCCCCCAAATAAAACATGCTTCAAATCGCTTTAAACTATTGTCATTGTAGTGCGTATTTAATGTGGCGCTGCACTCTGATGTTGTAGGAGAAAATATTTATTTAAAAGTATATTTAATTAAGTAGAACGTGTTGACTATATTTATTTAAAGTTGCGCATTTTGAGGTGACGTCACATTTCTCACCCCCCCCCCCCTCTCGTCACACATCGTCACAAATGTCTGACCCCCCCCCCCCCAGGTGCGTGACGTCATTTATGGACGGCCCCTTACGTGACCACAGCCTCGCACGACACGCATTCCCTCCGTCATCAAAGCCATCCCCAATGCCGCACCTACCGCCTATCGCATAACAGGGATTCGAAAACATAAACGGCACAATTGCCCTTGGGGAAAATAAAAAAAACACAAAGAGCGTTCTGATTGCAGAGGGCCGCTTGCATTCAGCTCGGTGGGTTTGGCTTGGGCCATATCTCGGCCCAAATCAGCCAGCGCACCTTGCTCTGTTGACACGGCGGCATCCAACAAACCTGGGGTGGGTTTTATGACGAACCTCGTCGTAAAACAGCACAGAGCAGAGGGATTGCAAAAATAGAAGCATAAGCCAGGCAGTGGGGAGCTTGCGGGAAACGAGAACTATTTCTGTGCGCGTGGCACACCGAACTGCACACCCCCGGTGACCCGCGTTCGATTCCCATTCTCGACCAATAACAGTGGTGACGATTTGAACCGTTCTTGGGCCTCTCACGAGGTTTACTCGGCCTTAAATGAGTACCTGGTGCGGTGTGTAAACGTCAGCACTCCCTTCATAAGCGCTCGCTTACAGCATTTGCTATACGGGGGATTTTTGCCATTTCATGATACACACGGACACCCACACACACACCTGTACAAACACACTCACATCTAAACACACATACACCTACACTCATACAAAAACAAACAAAAATATACCCTCATAGCCTTAACAGAAGTGCTTTTAGCAAGCACCTATGAAGGCCAACACGACACACTAAAGGGGGTGACGTGGTGAACAAACTGCTCATTTAAGGCTGGGTCAACCTAGGGGAGGCCCAGGACCAGTACAGATAATCGTCACCCGTGTTGGCCGTGAGCGGTAATCGAACCCTGGTCGCCGGGTTCGTAGCGCAGCACGCTAATCGCTATGCTGCCGCTCCCCACGCAACGACTCGCACGTACAAAGACAATTATCCCACTGCACATTCGAATGGCAACTCGCTCCCTCCAGAACGTTTAGCTGGGCACGGGGTCAAAGTTCTTTGGTGCGTGCAGCTCGTTGGAGCCCTCTCGCCATGGTCTCGCGATGGCGCTCTCGGCACCGTGCCGCAAGACCAAGAACCTCCCAATTCCAAATTCTCGCAGCGAGCGAGCGAGCGGTGTGAGGTCGCCTCGCGTCACGGAACGACCCGTGGTGTCTACTTCTGAAGCCTCTCTGTAGGCCTCTGTATCCACACTGGACGTTGCAGTGTGACGAGGCGAGAAGCCGCAAACACCTCCTCGTGGGAGACCCAATGGCTTCGATCTTCCGCGAAGCTTCTGGGGCCGCAACCGCTAAACCGCGTCCGCGCACGACCTATGGCAGCAGTGGATGTGGATAATGAATGATTATTGATGACGTATGCATGCACGTTGAATTTCTTTCGTGCACCACGTAGCCAACCGTGCAAATCGGAGGTGCGCGGGGAGGGGTGGGGGGAAATGACGACGCACAAATAGGAAAAAGAAAAACTCTCCCGTGTGCGGCGACCGTGGTAACCACCCAGGACAGGGCTGTGGAACAAATCGTGACTCGATGTCCGATTCACAAACACGACTGTGGACCACGGCGATTACACCACTCCGCGACTCCTGACGCAATTGCATGGCTCAACCACGCTCGGTGTAAAATCATAGCTCTACTTCATCATCATCATCAACCGTAAGAAGAAGTAGGAGGAGGAGAATAAGAAGCCCTGCAAAGAGTGATTGTCGCATGTCAATCAAAATGATTTTATTTTGTTTATATACATATTTATGTTTGGTCCACTGAGCGCAAAACAGGACATGCCAGTGGGAAAGGGGTTAAGAACGATCTTCTTGGTTCTTTCGGTAAAGTCACGTAGAAGGGAAATAATAAAATAATAAAAATAAAACATAATAAAATACAATTCTCACGACGTTTCGGCCACAACGCAGGCAGCCGTCCTCAGGTTTTTTTTTTCATTCAGACGCTGTTTTTCCGACAGATCTGTTCTTCACCTGAGGACGGCTGCTTGCGTTGTGGCCGAAACGTCGTGAGAATTATTTTATTATGTTTTATTTTTATTACTTTATAATTTCCCTTCTACGCGACTTTACCGAAAGAACCAAGAAGATGAATCCCTGCAGTCACGAAAGCTTTAAATCGAAGGGTTAAGAACGAGTCGAGGGGAGGGAGAATGGTCGGGCAAACGGCGAACGGGGTCTACGGTGCAGGGCCTCACCGTGGCGCTCCGCTCTGGGCTTCTCCGCCGCGCTCTGCCAGAGCTCGTCCACGCAGCGTGGACGCGTCGACGGCACCAGCGCGTTGGTCTTGACGGCGCGAGTCGTCCGGAAGTGATCCGTCCTCCGGCTCTCATCCTGCAGGGTGGACACGGCTGGTGGGAGAGAGGGAGGGAGGAGGAGGGGGTGGATAGAGATGCGCGCAGGTTAATTTGGCCATCGCTGGTGACGTCAACATCGATGTCATCTTCGGCATCATCATCGTCGTCGGTGTGGTGGGTAACATCGTAGTCGCCATTACAGTCATCATTACCATGATCATCATCCTCGTATTCATCATCATCAAACTATCATCATTTTCACTATCGTCACTATCATCTGGGGCCATATTGATGCATTAATTAAATTATGTATCTAAATTCTTTCTCAGGCTCACGGTAAACAAATTAGAATAAAAAATATTTCACTATTTCAAGCGAACGATACACACATCTAATTATGTGTTTGAGAAGCAACGTATTGATGGTTTCGTGCATGCAAGGAGAGGCTTCTAGGGATCACTCGTGGCCTCTGTATTCACCCCGATGGTCAAAAGAGGAATTGGTTCTTGAATCCAATCATGATCCTGAATCGCAAATTTCATAGAATCACCGACTTCACCACGATCAACAGTACCGACATCACTGTCATAATCATCAGTATCACAACTGTCACTTGTTTCACGATAACCGTCACCATCATTGCCATCATTCACATCGTCATAATGATATTCATCACTCTCATCATCATCATCATCACTGTCTCACCATCATTGGAAATCGATCGAACTCATCGTAATCATCATGATGGATGCACCGGCCCCAAGCACGGGTTTATTTGTTGACTCGTCTCGACGTTTGTGATGTTTGTGTTGACGTTGTTCTGATGATGTTTGTCTGTAGGCTGTGCGTATGCGAATATAAATGTGTATCTCGCAAGAGCGTGGGCAGCAAGCTGTGAGAACAGGATAGTTAATGAACTCGCAGAAGCAGATACTCTGGGCTTAATTTCTCATGCGATAATGTCCAGGAATGCTGATGTCACACATGATTTCATGTCACAACCGTCTGCGTGTCCTTATTAAACAGTTTTATCCCACCGATGACGACGTCAAATGTGGCGCTGTCCTTAAGGACATTTGATAACCCTGAAGCACTATTCGCTATTCACGATTCATGATTCACTATTCACGCACGCGCATCTCGGTCCCGCCGCGCCGGGAGTTGGAATTGAACCGGCGACCCCTGGACTGCAAGTTTAGTCTGCTCAGCATCGCACCACGGCTTCCTCCGTCACTCGAGAACAAGAGGTGGCGTGGAGGGGCGGCGGGGGGGGGGGGAAGGTTATGGGAGGGGATGTGAGATTAAATCTCCTTGCGGGAGACAGACTAATTGGTACCGTCAGTTACTGACATCACTCGCTAGCCACCAACGCCCCGTTTCTGCTTTCATGACGGACGTCTCCAATCCGTAATCTTCCGGGGGCTTTAATGAGCCCAATCACCTGTCGGGTCGGTCCCTGTAATGCGCACATGCCTCTCGCTTTATAAATACACCTGGGTGACTTCACGACTCCGCGCCCAAGAGCTGTAATCATGGATATTGCTTCGCGAGACATTTGAATGCAAAAAATTACTCCCACGCACCCCCCGTGACCCGTAATCACATTCGCAGTCGCTGACAGTGGTGGGATGGGAATACGATACAAGGACACAAGTGCCGGTGGGCGAAAGCAGAGGCCACGACGAATCCCACCCGCACAGCCTCCGTGGACTGTTGGCGCAATCGCCGTTCGCGAGCACATATCATGAATCTGAATCTGTATTTGTACAGCAGGAGGAATCCGATGCGCTGTGAAGATATTTTTTTTTTCACAGATCATAGATGTCCAGGAAGGGCACGGGGTCAGAAAGTTACAACAGCAAATTTTAAAAAAACGATAGGAGTGCAAAGCATAGGGAAGGTAAGAAAATAAAAATAAAAATTTGAAATTAAAGATTTTTCCTTTACCAGGTAAGGCCCAGTGAGTGAATTATTAGCTTTCTTTTCAGAAGCGACCTGGCCACGACCGATAGCACAACGTGAGGTGCCTTATTGTGTGGACATTTACAGCAGCCAAACATACTCTAAATACATCGAGCGCACGTTGATTTTAGATGAGGAGAAGAGCGTTGCAACACTGCCCACGATCAGCTCTCTCTGCCTTCCCAGTGCTGATGTTCTACAAAAAGTGGCCGGATAATCACCGAAGGCCAAGTCTGAACGACGAACGAGGGGGGGAGGGAGCTCCAACCCCAGTTCTGTTATCAACTCGCTACTGATGTTAGCCATTTGCTGGCAAATTGAATTAAAGTTCCAGGCGGGTTCGTAGCGCGGTGCGCTAACTGCTGCGCCACCGTTCCCCCCCCCCCCCCCCGCGGTGGAACACGCGTGTTTGCGTGCGTACCGACAATCGCACAGCTGCAACACGTTACGCGAAATTGTGTTTCGTTGCCTTTATGTTTCAAGGTCACGCGAAGCTACGTGGTATTTTGTTTTGTTTTGCGGAATTACGTCGCATTAAGTTTTGCCTTCTTCAAGGGTTCGGGTCTGTAAATGAAGTGAAAACAAACGCAGGGCAAAGCGGAAATGTTCGCGCAGGGCAACTGAGGACGACTAGATTTTAACATACCACAATGCAGTTCTTCTGCACTGGTGGTTTTGCGTTACGTGCGAGGCCCCGTGAGCTTTTGAACAAGCGGTGCGCATCTTTGTCATGAAATCTATCTCAAATCAAGATTAAATATATCTCACTAAGGGTTTCGGGTGGAGGTGGAGTGGGTTGTGTGGGGGGGGAAGGGAATAAATAAATAATCAATGAAAGGTCACGCTGGGGAGATGTATGCGCGTTAAGCCGGGCGTAACAATGACGGCGAACCATTTATCCACCGAACAATGCTCGGTGGTTGCCTTCAAACACGACCGCACTGCCCTCCTCCCGGTGCTGATCTCCCTCCGCCGCCCGTACATTCACCCGCCACTCCGGCCTCAAAGATCGCACTCAACAGGAGTTGCTACGCTGCCGAGATTTAAAGCCGTGCGGTTGAATTTCGTTTTGGGTTTTTTTTTATCGGTCAACGAAGGAGACAGGTGATGACGTCTTTTTTTAAATGCAGATATTTCCACCTTTCTTCCCACCGCCACCATCACCAGCGCCGTTCCGCGCTTGATCTCGCGAAGCGCACTAATGTTTCCTACGAACGATCATCCGCCCCCCCCCCCCCAAGTTGTCACGCAGATCCCGATAATGAAGACGATGACGGATGTGTTGTGCCGCCGAGCAAATTGGCTCTTGATGTCAGAAATAAAATTGGGATACAGACCCTGTAATCTACACCGTCTTATTTTTCCCACCTCTTTCCGAAACTTCAGCCACCGCCCACCAAACCCCCCTGTAATTGAATCCACGACAGATTTTCAGTCGTCTGTCGTTTTTTTTTTGGTTCCGTACGTATCTGCCCGCTGGTTTAAAAAAATTTATTTTGTTTTAGGCAGCTCTCTATGGACCGCGTGACCTCAAGATGTCCTGAGAAACCCTCACCTGCCTGGGAGTTGTGCCAAAAACGCACATGGCACACCGAGCTCCTGGCCTAAGCAACATCTGCGGGACAGAGATTCCGTCCAACGGAGCTCTGTGTTTATTATTTTCCTTGCGCACTGCACTACTGCCACCTCCTATCCCCCGTACCTCCAATGATCACAGCTGGCTATGTTCAACGTACATACGCAGATTATCATGGTTAGCTACGTACGCTACGTACGCTGCGAAAGAGTGTCAAGACACACATGATCACGATTGGCTACGTACGGTGTGAAAGAAGTTCAACATACACATTACATTGGCACGGTTGGCCATGTAATGTGCGAAAGAAGTTAACTAACAGACGCATGCGCATCGTGATCTACAACTCGCCGCAACAACTGCCAACACGAGAGGGAAATGGCCTTAAGTCAATGCCGTGACTGAAATTATGGGCCACCTCTGAAGTGGAATATTACAACAACATCAACAAATCTCACCGGTTTTGGGGATTAGGTTTGCGAGCAGATTAAATTTGGTAGAGAATGAATGGTGGTAATCTCTTATTTTCAACATATACTGCATTATAGCCCCAATAAAAATATAGATGCATTGATATTTTCACAGAATGTATGTGTACAATTACGACTAAATTTGAATGCATACATTTCCTCCTTGCCTGGTTTTATTTACTTATCCATCAGAAGTCTATTGCGCAAGACAGATTTAATTGTATAAATGGGTACCGATTGCACTTGAAATACATTGGAAAATAAAATCTCAACGAGTTCCGATTCAGATGCCGCATTAATCCAAAAACTGCATTGTGAACAATGCACGCGCGCACATGCCCTCTTACAGACCGTCAGCGGAAGAGTTCCTGCCCATCCTCACGAATGAGTTCGCGAGGACGAGGCTACCTAAAACCAGAGCAACTTATGACACCGCCGCAAAGCCAACCCAAATATCTCGCCCTCTTTCGATGAAAACAACGACGAATCGATAAGGCACTTACGATCGGTCACCGTGCCTGCACGTCTCATTTTGGGATCCCATGCCACATCCCAACGCGACCACCGCCACCGCCACCGCCGCCGCCGCCACGGCGAAATCCTCCGACGAGTGGCAAAGCAGCAGCCGCAACCGCCACCTCTCACCGCGGACGCATCTGTGCAGCACTGTACGTACAGTGGTGCAGGGAAAGGACTTTTCTGAGATCTGCACTCGGCACGACCGACAGGGCCGTACCATTCATAACGGGGACTTAATCCGCCACTCTCACCCGCCCGCCCGCCCGCTCTCGCTCTCTCTCTCTTTCCCCGACCTCCCGCATCATTACCTGCGACCTTTCCCCACACTGGGTGGGGAGGGGGGCAGCTGGGGAGGGATAACGAGGAATATATTTTCAGTAAAATCGGCGGTTGTTTTGGGAAGGAACCGCGGAGTTTTGTTTGGGCAGCCTCAAGAGTTTGGGGGGGTGGGGGACAGGTTGGGCGGGGGGCAATGGTGGTGCCTGGACTTTAGCAGATATTACCTTTCGGCCCCCCCCTCCCCAAAT